GAGCATCTGCCTTTCCGAAAGAGGTGGTTGTTTGATACTTAATCAAAAAGTCGTATCCTAGGAGAGTAGTGGCCCACCGCTGCAATCGGTTAGCTGTGTATACAGGTATGCCCTTCTTAGATCCGAATATACTGAGAAGGTGTTTGTGATCAGTCAGCACCCCGTTTGGTTTCAATGTGCTGGTTACTTTCGACAATGTATACTACAAATCATCTGGCGCCTCCACACCAGTTCCAACCAGTGCACAGGAGAGACTCGTTGGGTTCACGTGTGAGGAATGTGGCAAGTGCTGCAAATCGAAAGCTGGCTTGGTAGCCCATCATCGAGTTCACGACAATGAAAGTGTTGGTACGAGCACGGTTGCTCAATTGGCCTGCGCTGACTGTTTCCGCCTTTTTCCGACGAACATTGGCCTGAGTCAACACCGCCGGGACGCACACCCCACCCAGCATAATGCAGATAAGCTTGGCCGAGTGAAGTATTCCGGTACCCGCTGGTCCCAGCAAGAGTCACAATCGCTCTTACGCCTGGCTAACAATTTATATCCATCTTGTGGCACGCAAACCGAGCTGTTCACGAGATTGGAGCAGTATTTTCCTGGTCGATCGGCTATCAGCATCAAAACCAGGTTACGGGTGCTTAACTGGCAAGCACAACAGGACGAATCATCATCTGGTGAACCTGAGCAAACTATCGGTCAGACGACGGCCTACTCATCAGAAGCCGATGACTACAGCGTCTGGTTTAAACAAACCGTGGATTGCACCGTGTCACTCTTGGAATCCCATGCTGACCGTTCGCTCGCTAGTGTTGACCTTCTGGCATTTGCCCGAGGGTTGCAGTCTGGCATCATGACACCGGAGCAAGTCCTGTCGCTTCTGGACCTCCACGCCTCCAGGACATTTCCACACACCTGGAAAACTGTTTCCCGACGTCGCCGTCAGTTAGCCCATCGGATCCCGGTCAACCGGAAGCAGATCCGCCGAGCCAATTACGCCGCCATCCAGACTCTATACCACCAAAGACGGAAAGATGCAGCGTCTGCTGTACTCGATGGGTCATGGAAGGATTTATACAAAGGAAACTGCGGCCTACCTATGGACGCCGAACAGTATTGGAAACAAGTGCTCTCAGCTCCAAAACACGCGGATAGCCGACCAAGTCGCATAGTAGTACCATCCGACTGGAGCTTGATCGAGCCAATTACAGGAGAGGAAGTTGGCCGTACGATCCGTTTAATGGGCAATTCGTCCCCAGGCCTGGACAAGCTCACACCCAAGACGCTCCGCCGGTTCAATGCTAATGTGCTCGCTGGGTATTTCAACTTATTTTTGTTATCTAGGGGTTGTCCCCCACATCTGTGTATTACGCTAGTTCCGAAGGTCCCACATCCGACTTCACCAGATCAACTGAGATCGATCTCCGTGTCACTCATTCTTGTCCGTTGCTTCCATAAGGTGCTTGCTGATCGCTGGAGTTGTAGATTGCAACTGCTCTCTCTTCAGTTTGCATTTCTGCATCGAGACGGCTGTTTGGAAGCCACATCGCTGTTGCATGCCCTGCTTCGTCACTCTTCAGCGACTGCTTCTAACCTCAGCTTGGCGTTTGTCGATATCTCGAAAGCGTTCGATTCGGTTTCGCATGACACAATCGTCAGGTCTGCCGAGGCGTTTGAAGCTCCATCACCTCTAGTTCGATACATCGCACAGTCCTATGAGAATGCTTAGCAGTTTTCCCCAGTTCTGAGTTCACTGCCGCAGGGGTGTGAGGTAAGGAGATCCAGTCTCCCCATTATTATTCATTATGGCAATGGATGAGGTTCTTGGATCGTCGATGCCGCAACTGGGATACCAGTTCAATGACACCTTAGTAGATGGTTTCGCTTTCGCTGACGACTGTGTCGTGTGTGCAGAAAGTCAGACACGCCTTAAAGAGAAGCTTGAAGCTGCTGCGGTCGAGTTGGGAAGAGCTGGCATGAAACTAAACGCCCGAAAGACTAAAGTTGGTCATTTTTGTAATGTAGTACTCATAAGGTTGCTGAAAATCCGTCGACAGCTTACAACCGGTTTCGCCCTTTTTGGGGCTCATCAGGTAGGCGCAGTCCCCGGGTTTCCGTCAACCTCATGTTCTACTTGAAACCAGACTGCACGAAATAAGCGAATAAACACTCATTTGCAAACATCACAAACGAGAGATTCAGCTGGGTTCTAGGTGAGTCTCTCGAAAAAACTAAATTAGTTTGCAAATGACTGTTGGTTATTATTATAGCTTAAAAGACAGGACTTGGTAATGTATGGCGCTAGGGTCTTTGGAGTATTTCGATCTATGGGGAACAGCCCAGTATGTTTCGTGACATTTGGACCTGTTTTCAACTGTAAGAAAAGAACAAGCAATGTCCATTTTAAACCTTTCGTATTGTCAGGGGTTACAATCCTCGTCAGTGTTTATCTTTTGCGGCCATATTAACCTGGATTGGACGCTGTTGGAAACCAGAGCGAGATACGGTTCACGATCAGTGTTTTTCCCGCAAAAGTGGCTACTCCCAAAATCAGGATTGGCCAGCGGTCAACCTGAATTTGAATTATGGAGTGTTTCAGCGTAAACATATTGGGACCCCCAACTCAGGACGAGTACAGCCGATGGCGACAGAGACCACCTTATTTTTAGGCTCTCGTCAAACTTTTATTCGCATAAAAGAGAATTAACAATTAACTTTCACCCTACGCCAAAAGACTTAGAAAACTCGATCTCTTTTATCCATGCACAACACACCGATGCTCTGACAAAGCATAATGTAAAGAACTTCATGTGTAACAACAAGTCTGACAATCAACAAAGCCGACTCACCTTTCTCCAGGCACCAGGAAAGCGAATCGGAAGTGCGGTTACGAGGTTTTGTTGGGTGCGACTCCTCGCATCTCCGTGCTTGACCATCTCCTTCATATGGATCCACTCAGAGAATCGTCTTCATCCTCAGGTCTCCTTATCACAGCGTAAAGTCAAAAATGACATCATCATCTTCATCATATCAGAGTGACATGTTTGCGGTTGACGGTATCTGTTCGTTTCCTTATTCGTCCTGATAGCAAAATCACTCTTTCAGGTACCGTCCCACAATTACCAGTTTCGTTGATCAGTTTATCAAAAGGAGATACGGATGAACTGACATTCGCTTTTTTGTTTCAAATCAATGAAGGGACAAGAAGGGTCAGCAAAACACACTCATTTGCAAACCAATCTGGTTTCGACTGGTGGTTCACGTGGAACCCAGCTGAATTTCTCGTTTGTGATGCTTCAAGCAACTTAATGTGCTACACCAGGCCACCTTATTTTTCAGTTGGCACGTTATTCGAGATACAGCGATACATTGTATAGACGTAATACACCACTCATAAGGTAGCTGAAAACGCTTCGACAGCCCACGACCGGTCGCCATTCCTGAGTTTCCGTCAACACTATGTCGGTAGTCGCCGTAGAGGGATTTATCATGCATACGGCCCACGACCGGTCGCCATTCCTGAGTTTCCGTCAACACTATGTCGGTAGTCGCCGTAGAGGGATTATATCATGCATTATCTTCTGTCGCAGGTCTCTTCCCCTAGGAAGATCATTAAGTTCTTTTCAACTGCAATATACCAGTTTAAAAATCCATTGTCCGGCTTTCCACTTTCCAACGAACAGCTGGAACTGAATATCCATCAAACCAATCACGCGCTCAGAAGTTGACCAGGATATCAATCAATCGCGACGATTTTGTGAGCGTGTCGCCTTGAAGATGCCATATAGCTTCTGGTGTTAACTCCCACCATTAGCATGCCGCATGATGGGAAAAATAAAGTCAGAATACAATAAACAGCTAACTGACTTTCGGAGAGAACAGTAAAGCTCTTCATCGGTCAGCTTAAACTGATTGCCAGTCCTTACAGTCCCTTTTTTGAAATCTCGCTTCAAATGTGAACGTCATCAATGAGTTAAGCTATGCTGCACGAAGGCTTTCCTTGGCGGCTACTACTCAGCCACCCAATATGCATCGATCTCAACATTATCTGAAAGCATACTGTCATGGGAATAAAGAGTCGTACTTACGATAACATTATGTCTAATAAAGCAAGGACATTTCTGGTTATTTGAACACCACTCGCCTAAGGTGAATGCATCATAGGACGGCGTATTGCTCGTCGAATGTGAGCTTGGACTTATCACGAATGTTTTGCAGCACTCGGTTAGGAGTTAGCGGTGCCATATCTATCATAACTAACCGAGTCACATAAAGAAGACCTTCCTCACTGAAAGTACGGTCCATGGATTTTCTTGTTCATATGTCGTGGGAATAGTTCAAAGTATCCGGTCATCTGATTACATTTTGTGTCTGTCTCTCTAACCTTCCGAACAGCTGCTCCAAAAATCGGAATCGACGCTCCGAGGGAAATTAATGCACGACTGGGTGAGCCATGCAAAATCCGTATTCCATTTACTGGTGGTCCACCAGAAAATGTCGAAATGCTCAAGGTACGTGTTTCGTCACTTCGAATCAATGAGTTTGCTACTCGCTTAAAACAATGCATCATCTATGCACACATTACTTTTCGCTTGTTTCAAACCATTTTATAGAATGGCATCCCAGTTCCTCTGGATGGGGATCGATTCAAAGTCGAAGTCACACCTGATGAAGTGATCATCACAGATACAAAGGTGGAAAAAGGTGATGCAGGCCCCTATCAAATAAAACTCAAGAATGAAAAAGGAGAAGCCACTGCTCCGATCACCATCAAAGTACAGGGACCGCCAGAGGCACCTAACGGTCCACTGACGATAAACGATATTAAAGGAGACTCATGCAAACTAGCTTGGAATCCGCCAACGGTACGTTTCCGTCTTTCCACACAAATGGGATTTTTTTTTTGAAGCTGAGCTAGTTGGTACATTTGTCTAATCACAGTAGGTCACTGAGTTTGATGAACTGTTTATTTGATTCGGAAACAGTGTTTCGCCAAATGTTCCTTAAATGAACTCTCGCCTTCCTAGCTATGGGATGGTCTGGGTGCATGTGAATCAGGTCAGTTCTCTCTGAGGTCTAAGAACAATCCCTAAATGACGGGAACGAGGGAAGTTTTGTTGAAATTTCAGTGGGGACGACTTTGTTGTGGATGCATTGTACATTTTTATTCCAACCTTAGACGGAAACTCTGTCAGCAAAGCAAAGTTGGTTTATGCACTGAATTCCTAGTGAAATGAATTGCTGAGAATATAACGATGTCCCAAGGTGGAATGAATATGTCCCAAATTCAGTACACTCGTTGGTACTGCATACCTGGACATCCTCGAAATTTCCTAATTTCGCAATGAGATGTCTTCACATTCCTATCGTGGTATGTTTTTATTCGTGTGGGGATGCGTAAAGATTTCGCGCACTATGAACTCTGCACCTCACGTTTGCACATCCCTCAAGGAAGAAGGGGGCTTGATAATTAACAAGTGACAGCTGTTAAGTCAGCTTCCATGCAGATTCACATTTAAAAAAACAGCGCCACCCCATTGGACGACAAAACGTCTCCAATAATAGCCTGAATCTCATTGCACAGCAATGAGTCAGACAGTTTCAATCCGCGGTCTGGTTAACCACGGAAATCCTCATTCATTTCTACTTGCGTTCTCTGTTGGGTAGTGGCACACAGTAAAGCTGGACATTCACCTATTGATGTCCGATCGCTACTAGATCGATGACATCGCCCATCTAGGTGAATGTTTAGACAGTTTCTGGTCTACACACGACTCGCTGGATCGGTACGCTACTATGATTCGTCTCAGAATTAACGATATTCAAATGAAGGAATATTCAGCTAACGAGCAACGGATACACAACGCCTCCTGTGCTGGCGTATCTATGCTCAAACTGGTTGAAGCCGTCACGTGAATTGGATGGTATGAGTCTATTAGTGCATTGTTGATGGTGCCCATAATACAAATCAGAAGGTACATGCACTAATATCAGTCTTTACTGCGGTTGACAGTAGTTTACAGAAGAGATTTGCAGAATGTATAAAATAAAGGCGATATAAAATCTGGAGCAAGTCAACAGGGATCTTATCGTATGTGAGAGTTCCTTGGTGGAAGTCCGGACAGCGGGAACGTGTTTTTCTCCGCAGTGCGACTGCTACATGTGTTCCATAATTGCCCGTGGACTTGTGGAGACGTTGGCGTCCTGCTCCCTGCGCACGAGTCTGTGTGTACTGACTGTGTTCAGTTTCCCCATATGTAGGTCCGTTTGCGTGAACGTGTGTGTCAGCACATGAGTAGTTGCTACGCTCACTAGACGGTACGGACAATCGACGTCTGATGAGTCGCCTTATGTGACGTGGTTTGTGGGTGTGAAAAAAACGTCTCGTGATCCAGTGAGCGACTGTGAGCTGAACAGTCGTGTGGGTAACGGGGTAGCTACAAGCTCTGGGGAAAAGTGTGATACTTGGTAGGTATGACCTAATTGAAGCGGCGATTCACGCAGACGAATGTTGGGGGTAAAGTTGATATTCTGACTAATAATTCCATAAATCATGTACCACAAATGGTATGTGATATCACAGCCGCTTCATTTCTTACACACGTAATTTTCACTAGCGGACAGACCAGAATCAAGAGTTGATTCCCATGAGATTCAGTTGTTGGAGAAGTTACGAACACTTTCATCAAAAATAACTATACCTTATGTATTTTAACTAACACGTTTTACGTTTATACTTTTTCCAACCTTAGTTTCAAGTTTTAATTGGATCAAATTTATGCGTCTGTGTAACGACCAACACGTAGACCAAAAACCTCAAGTCTGAAATGATGAAAAATTTCAGTCCATTCATTTTCATTCGACTTATGCAAACCTAAGAAATTAATTGGCACTTTAATGCACTGGTTAGATGTGAAACAATAAGTCGTTCGCCAGTGCTCATGTCGCTCTGCCTTGGTTGTGCATCAAACAGGCAAGTTGATATACTATTTTCTGAGATGGGTTTTAGTCACACTTTGCTTCGAAATTCACTCCGGTTTTCGGGCTGAGGATCGGTCTCCTCAGGATACTAGAATTTAATGGAAATCCAAAGGGACGAGTAAGTGGCTTCTTGGGAGTGGCATTTCTTAGGGCGGGAGAGAACAATCATTGATTGACTTGGTTGTTTGGTCTACTGTATTGTCTCACGTACGTAAATGGCGTTCCGCATTATTCGCCAACAAGTTCATGAGGTCGAGCTAACTATGAGTGAAATGAAGGGAGCAGATCTACTATGTGGGGTTGATCCCGTATTAACGACTGAATTTTTATTTACCATACGGTAAGCCTAAGTTCATGTGGGCGCTCTGTTTAAACTGCAACATTGGATGCGGATGTGTAGGTTCACACTCAAAGTAGGCAGATTTTGAGAGGTTTTGGCACCGCAGATTATTATGGTCATCTTTTTCCAACCTTAGTTTCAAGTTTTAATTGGATCAAATTTATGCGTCTGTGTAACGACCAACACGTAGACCAAAAACCTCAAGTCTGAAATGATGAAAAATTTCAGTTCATTCATTTTCATTCGACTTATGCAAACCTAAGAAATTAATTGGCACTTTAATGCACTGGTTAGATGTGAAACAATAAGTCGTTCGCCAGTGCTCATGTCGCTCTGCCTTGATTGTGCATCAAACAGGCAAGTTGATATACTATTTTCTGAGATGGGTTTTAGTCACACTTTGCTTCGAAATTCACTCCGGTTTTCGGGCTGAGGATCGGTCTCCTCAGGATACTAGAATTTAATGGAAATCCAAAGGGACGAGTAAGTGGCTTCTTGGGAGTGGCATTTCTTAGGGCGGGAGAGAACAATCATTGATTGACTTGGTTGTTTGGTCTACTGTATTGTCTCACGTACGTAAATGGCGTTCCGCATTATTCGCCAACAAGTTCATGAGGTCGAGCTAACTATGAGTGAAATGAAGGGAGCAGATCTACTATGTGGGGTTGATCCCGTATTAACGACTGAATTTTTATTTACCATACGGTAAGCCTAAGTTCATGTGGGCGCGGGATGCGGATGTGTAGGTTCACACTCAAAGTAGGCAGATTTTGAGAGGTTTTGGCACCGCAGATTATTATGGTCATCCCCTGGAACTCATACCGGCACACCGGTCGGATAGGATGACAGTGATTGGTTAACCTCTGAAAAAATTTGCGAGCTGAGTCCGTTAGCTTTAGTTTGTTTGTTTTCAACGTATATCGACCCACAGAGCTCCAGCCGACCCCGATCATACAAATCGATCGTGGTAAGCCTTATCTGCGAGATAGGTGTGCACGCTCCTGACCTGCATCTGCGCCCGAAAACTCGATCAACTACAGTCACAACCTGCTGATTGTGGTCTAGTTAACAAGCCAATTCGACAGTCTGTCGTGGGAAGCAGGCCACAATGGACTAGCTCACCCACGTACTCCTAACCTAGGCCCAAAATGGGGCTGACTTGTTCGCCGAGAGAAAACCGCCTGGATCACAACGGACACAAGGTTCTTGTGACCGTTAAAGTGCATTGCTGTTTACCAACAGTTTGTTGGGTTGGTGGTCGTAGCGGACTTCTCGAATTCTCGTTTGAAATAGACACGCCAATGGGTGCCCTGTTCCACCTTGGTACCCATGACTAAGGACAACGAACTGCCCTTTTCTGGCAGAACTTGACCTAGAAGTGTGTTTCTCAATGAAGACTATAACGACAGCCGTCCACTTTACCAATCTTGCGGTGGTTCGGACGTAACGGTAGACCGAAACAGCAGTCATGGGGACATTTAGTAAGTCATACACGAACTTATATGAACTTAAATGGAAAAATCCAACAACACCAGGAGCACTTAGTCTCGTGTTTCACTGGGAAACGACCATCGTTCCTTATCACCGAGCGACTTTCCCAAATCAGTTGAAAAAGATGTTCCGTACTTTATTGTGGTGGTGGTGACGGAAATTTATTTGGTTTATCGTAGTAATGTGTACACAGCAAAGGCAACAGATTTTCTAACTCACATGATATATTCTTAAACGAACTTTATGCTTATGCCTACCAGGATAACGGAGGAAGTCCGGTAACGAACTATGTGGTGGAGAAACTAGACAAGCGTACTGGGGATTGGGTACCAGTGAGTCGGTTTGTTCGAGGCACAGAGTATGAAGTTACAGGACTGGAAGAAGGCAACCAGTACAAGTTCCGTGTTCGGGCTGAAAACGAGTTTGGAGTTAGTGAGCCTCTGGAAGCAGATCGTGCAATAACGGCCGAAAACCCAGCAAGTGAGTTGACAGTGGCTTCTGGTTACAGGGAGTAACGCAAAACAGCTATTTATGGACATCTACTCGATAAACCTATGTAAAAACCTATTTCGGTACCCATAACACTTCGCTTGTGGTCCGTATCGTCCTGAGGACATCGTAACGAGAGACGTCCTTTCCTGCGGTCACTTAGATGAAGTTGAACATGTGCTAGATTGCTAGGATCGAGTTTGACGTTTATTTGCCCTCCACTGACTGCTCTTTTTCTGAACTTGTTTTGCAACTGAGTATGACATTCTGAATGCCTTTGGGAAGATAATAAGCTATTCACGAGTTTTCTATACATTTGAGTAGCCATTTACACTATGAATTGTTTCAAAGCGGATAGTAATTGCTGGCACGGTATACATTGCACGCATAGCAAGAAGCTACCCCCGGCCATGGTTACGGGAAATTTCCCAGTATTTCAGAATCCTGGGCCTTCTGAGCTATTGTCTTCCGGATGTCAGATTGCCTTATCGCAATTCGCCCTTAATCGCTTAGTAGCAGACTGGTAGTTAATGTTCACAGGACAAAAGTTGGGAGACCTTAGTTCTCTTCTGTCCGTGTAATAAGATTCACGATGTATCTAAGTTAAAAGAGGGAGAGTGAAACATAAACGAAACTACCCTTCAGTTTAGTCGGAGTAAGGCATGTGTTTGCATACCTCTCATTTGAGGAGTCCCTGTCCTGTCGCGGTGTGGTACTTATCTCGTCCACATTTCGAATTCCTTTCCAAGGGTGACAACTTTCGCCCGTTCAGACGCGATGGTTCAAGTGCGCTGGTGGTCTAGTGGTCACAGGCTTGCCTTGGTTGTGAGGTATCAAGAATTCAAACCTCCGCATGGGCAAGGATATGCGCTGCTGATGAGCTTCAGTAGGGATGAAGTTCGCATCTAGTGCTTTCCCCTTTGCTGCGAACTCACCAGAATATGTGGAACAGGACAGGAGGACTGTTCAAACTAGTCTGATTTGAAGGTGAATTCTATTTTTGCTGGTGTTCCTCATTTGCGTACACCATCGGCCATGCCAGGGTCCGAACGGTGGGCGTATGACACGCGAGGCAAGTGCTGGCACGCTGATTAATCACGTCTGAAGAAACAGACATGTGCGGTATTATTGGTTTGTCCGAGATTCAGCGAGCCTCTCAAATCCCTACCGTAATCAGACAATCGTCTGGCAGGTTTCAAACGCCCGTGGTGCTACGTGACCTTGAAGCGGGTGGCTCGACTGACAAATAGAACGGCTACTTGGTTGTTCTTCCGCGCCGATAGGCGAACCAATCTCATCGTTCAATGTATGAACATTCTCAACCACTCAGACGGACCCTCTAGGTTCGTCCGGCGAGTGCTTAGCACGCTCACGTCACACACCAAATGTTGGGGTTCAAATCCCTGTACGGCCAGGGATGCATATGATGAACTCTAATAACAGTTTAACTGTAATCTTCCTTAGTTGTAGCAGTACGGTAGAATCAATATAGGATAAAAGAAAGACCCGTCAGATAAGAGTAATGTTGATACGGACTACACGAACATCCACAGAAGTGTTGTCAGAATTATCGAAATAAAAGATGTTAATAAACCTTAAATTAAACATTGTTGAGGATCAGTCATCTACGAGAAACTCAGGGAAATTTGGGGACCACTTTTAGTTCAAAAAATTTGACGAATTCGTCTAATGGGTTGAACCAAGAAATACATATAACAAACTGCCACTTTTTGTTCAATGAATCTGTTGTGTCAAGTAACACGTGACATGTCCTGCCCGTCCACCAGGCGAGCCTCAGCCAACACAGACTACTCACATCCTGACTTTATAATTTGAGAATGGTGCTTCTAAAGCTGAAGCCACAAACAACTGTCCCGCCCTAGAATTAGGTCATTTTCCGACCATTTCAATCAAAATCACAAACAAAGCACCCCCTAAATGGATAGGCAATTTGACTGGAAAAATGAAGCTCTGCGCTTGAACCAGTTAGAAACTCTGACTCAACCTGAACTATCCCTTCCCCCATTAGATAATCTTGTCTTAGGCTCAGTACCTTCATCATCCGTAAAATGCTTTGTTGCTTTTCCGCTTTTCTAGCCGCGCCGGACAGTCCCCATTCGTTGAACGTGGCCGATGTGGATAGTGACAAAGTGACGCTGGAATGGGCCAAACCCAGAAATGACGGTGGCAAGCGTATCAACGGTTACGTGGTCGAATACAAACCAGTGAATTCCACTGAATGGCAACGAGGACCCACAGTTCGGGAAACCACGGCCACTGGTATGGAAGATGTGTTTAACTAGTTACACAATACGAATAGATTTGTGTTGTTTTTTGTTCCGTTCCCGTCGCTTGCCAATAAGTTCGCCATCGGGATGGCTGTTAGGCTTAAACTGGCTCTGTTGTTGCCGGGCCGACCATTATGGGTCAGTCCTTCGAGCGATGGCCTTTTGGTACCTGACGCCACAACCTTTCAAACCGAAATCCGCGCCCCTAGGTAAGGATAGATCATCTTACAGAAAATCAGCTCCCTTTGGATAGTGAGATACTCTTATTGATTTGTTTCACGTCATGTCCCTAAGACATACGACAAAGGAAACACTGGTATGTCGGGGGTTTGGTGCGCAGACTCGAGCGACCTTGGTACAGTAGGGTTACTGGTTCCTTATAGACCAAGGACAATGAGTGTTTATTGATGTATTTCGTTTCAGCGATGAGTCTAACCAATGGAACTGGAAAATTAGCATCAATTGTTCTTTGTTCTCCAAGCTTGCACTGATATAGTCTGGTTCGATCAACGTCCACTGTACTACAGAAAATAATTTCAGCATTTTCCTACCGCAATTACGCTTTCATAGACCAACTGGTAGTGTGTGCGTAAATCAACTCATTGTTATGAAATGTACGCCTGTTTTCCATTTTAGTTGACGGATTAAAGAAAGGTGAAAAGTACGTATTTCGGGTTTACGCCAAAAACGATGTTGGTTCTGGTGAGCCCAGTACACCTACCCGACCAGTTGAATGCAAACCAAAGTATAGTAAGTTTGAATTTGGCCTTGGGTTTTTCCGTTTCTGTGCTGTTGATGCTTTTGGTTACTTATGTTCTGAATGTTTCCACCGTAGTGGCTTTTGCTACTCGCTAGCTTCACTAGCACAATGCATCCTGTTGTGCTGCGTCCTACGGACCGGACTGGCGTCTTGTTCAGCTGTAAGCTGAGAACGTTTCGACGTCTCAACCATGCGCCAATCATAGCGGGGTGCATCGAAAGAGCCCTTGTGATTGTTAGCGTTGTGAACTGTTTTGACATTTTTTTAGAGAAGGGACGCTGTTTGTTGTGCACACTTTCCTCACATTGCGTTTTCGCCTCAACTGAACTTCTTTTTGGGGCCTACTAACAGCGCTTCCAATAACAATCCTTTCTTAACGTTCTGTCTCTAACGTTTGAGTAAGACACCTTAGAAATTGGTGAATACACGTACTGCGAGGAATCAGACCCGGTAAAATAACCGAATACGTGTTTTTTAACCAATTAGCCACTGCGGACAGCCCAGGACAACCAACCGTGGATGATATTGGCAAAAACTCTATCGATCTATCTTGGGCCCGCCCAACTAAGGATGGTGGAGCACGTATAACCGGGTATGTTGTAGAGAAACGTCATAAAAACTCACCTGATTGGGAACCGGCCACTCCGGATGGGCAACCAGTGACAGGAAACCAGGCTCATATTGATGGTCTCAAAGAGAATGAAGATTATGAATTCCGAGTGAAGCCTGTAAACGCGGCCGGTGTGGGAGCTCCAAGCGAGCCCACTCCGCTGATCAAGATTCGTCCAAAGAAAGGTGAGTATTTCTGTCCAAATGTTCGGTTGAAATATCCAAGATCTCTCATCGACCTACCGTTGTGGAAGTCTTCTTACAGATTTGATCATTTTGCTAACAAATTTTTATGTTCATCCAGGTTCCTTTCATCAAAACATGAAATGTATCTTGTGAAATCATAGCAGATGATAGATATGTGGTGTTATGAGCAAAAAAAGGTATTAGTTTTTGGTCCTAAAGAACCTGGGCATCTCCTCAATCATTCTTCATAGTAGCCTCATCATCCTTATCAATGGCCATTATAGTGATCTCAAGTCTGTCGTCTGAAAACGAAGCAGGAGGCCTGAGCTTGGCACTATCCTTTCCAAGCACCGAGCTCTCGAACAATTGAGCTAAGTGACTACGATAGAAAGCCAAACGATCATTCGAAAAATCGCCCTTGACATTTATATTAGGATATTCTACAGTGACGAAATTGACAGTCCCACGCTTTTATGGTTGACCTGAAGGTCTGACAACGTAGGATATATTGAAAAATTGTCCAGCGGTTGTTTCCCACTCACCGGAGTCTATACTGTACCACTCTGAGGCCACAAATCAACATCTTGTACCATCGACCACGGTGAGTTTAAGCTTACAAGACACTAATGGCCGAAGGTGAGGCTATAATTCATTATTATGAATAGTTTTTGTTAGTTCAGACGGCAACCGGCAGAGACCTCACGAGTGAAAAATTTTGGTTTTTCGCTTAACTATGATACACAAAGGCTCATAAATTGTTCACCGCAGGTCGCAACTCGATGCTGTTTTTGCACTTTAACAGGCAATTTATGTTCGTTGGTTAGGAAGTTGGGAAAGTGTGTAGTGTAGTGGCTTGAGAATGGACGGAATCCACATTTACTCGAAGTTCGTGGTCGGTTGGTAACCCATTCATACGATTACAATTAACCTGATAATTCTAAGGGAATCACTTAAGAGTGATACGCACTGCAGGCTGACACACCGTGACAGAGTCTGCTTGTATGTTGTGAAGAGCTATTTCAGCCAGGCTCAAGCGATGTAATTTTGATTGAAACTTTTTCGTTGCCTTAATCTAACCAGTTGCCGCTGATTTAACCTTTTAAAATGAACTTTCATTGTTTCACTTGACCAATAGCATGGCCTACCGATATACTATTGGCCACCAATTCTTCGATTAGCTACAAACCAGCCATGTATTCTGCTCTTCCTTTTTCGGCTTTCCTAACTATTTCTACCATTCCTTGCCTTAATAGATAGGCCCGACGGCCCAGAAGAAGTCAAAGTCGAAGATCTTTTAGCTGACAGCTGCAAGCTTGTCTGGAAAGCGCCAGAAAATGACGGAGGATACCCCATAACAAGTGAGTGGAATTTCGTTAAGTTTTGTTTGGGGATAAACGTACTGAATTTAACTTAACAAGCCGTCTGCCTTATACTCCATTAAGGACTCGCTTGAGTAATGACGGTGCTGGATCAGTCCGTTATCTGAGTTTATGCCTCATCTACTGTGCTTTTCTTTTTATTGGTTTGCTTCGACAAGAATCTTGTCGAACTTCAGCCATGTCTCTGCAATCCCTTTGGTTGGGGTCGCTCAATACATTCTTGTGTAAAGCGTTTCACTTCAAACATGAAACAGTCCCAAATTCATCGGTCATTTTGAACTCTCTTCCGAAACCGTCACAAGTGATGCCGTCCGAATTAGGCAATCTGTCAAAGATACAACAAATTCATTTCATGGTTGTCGGATATTCGTTTACACCAATGCGGAACCCGAGGGCATGCTGTGCGGAGAGCGAACTTTAGAACAGTAATAATTGCTGTAATATATAACTTTTGATAAATGTAAGTAGCGCCGGTGCTACTGCAGCAGTAGCAGATCTCTTTTCATGCCTGGTTCTCGGGTCCACACGACAAAATAGCCACAGATGAAGATCGAACATATCAGTTATACCTAATCGATGTCATAAAATATAGCTTTTCCAGCTAAATAGAATTTATTGAGCGAGAAATCGAGAATTAGTACGGTCAAGCCACACTCGTCATTAGTGCCTGGCATCCACAGGTAAATTCGGGCAGCCAATGCATATCTGTCAGTTACACAGTTAATTAGACCATATGCATAGGGCAGTTTTCGCCTCCCTTTGACTTCCAGCTGGTTAGTTAGTTCACGTGATTCCGCGTACTTCAGTTTGTACCTGAAACTCTAGCGAAGCTATCTAATTAATCCTGCTGTGTTCTACTCCACGATGAAACCGAGCTACCCGGTGAAAGTCGGAAAATTATGACCACATACGGCGTGCGCATTTTTGTTCCATTGTACTGTCCAGCGCACTGATGCAAACTGCCGAAAATATGTAAACTTGGAACTTGCGCTCAAACAAAATGGTGGGTCAGAGATCATCCTTCAAGTAATTTGATTTCAGCTACAAATTAACTGTGTGGTCATTCCGACGGTTATGTTTTAAATGCATACAATTGGCTTTCTGCTCTGAACTGTTTGATGCATAGACACATTTTCAACTAAACCAGTGCCAGTTCACTGACACGAAAATGTAGCTCGTCCCATTTTTAGGGACCCTTTGGAGAAGGACAATCTTACTGATTCCAGCTTTATTTGACTCAAATCCTCTCAATAAATATCTCCCAGGAATTCAACAAGTAATGTCTTACTACCACAGTTACTGACCCAGTCCAAGACTGTGCTTTTGTTGCAAGGCCCAAACAAGACGATGCCCTTAACAATTGTTAACAGTTTCAGCTTGAGCCCTTGACGTTCGTTCACTGGATGATGCGAGTTCCACTGTTCGCTGACACAGAACCGCAGCAGTCGGCTATGGGTAGACATCGTTGACAGTGTGTTTGTGTGTGCGGTTTTATGTACCACATTTACACCTGCCAGCTGCTCCCACACCACCGCTAGCATATGACCTTGTCTCAGGTTCTATTGGTCGCCGTGCCGTTTTGCTCACATGAAGCAAGCCGTGTCACCTCTGTCACTTGCGCGTGCGCGGGGCTTCCGTCCAGTCCTGATTTTCCCGCTCTTTTGGGGTTGGCAGCTTGGGCGGCAGCACGGTAGTCAACCAAGCCGCTTTTTATCGGAGCTACATAGGGAGAAAAAACAAACCAGCTCTTGACAGATCTGTCGGCGTGCGATCGAATATGCTTATGCCCCGACAGTATGATTTTTTGATGGCTTCAATTTCGAATTTGCTGTAATCCCAAGTCATCAAAGCTGGGCATCTTAGCAAATCAGAACGCTGGACTTAGGAGTTCTTACGTATATAGGGTATTTGCTGTTATCAAACAAGGCATAGTTGAAACTGAGAAAGATAACATAGAGGGAGATTGAGTACATGGGAGAGCTTATCGAGTTTTTGAGCGCACTTAACTGTCCAACTTCACTTCGTGCAATCCTCCCGACGTGACACTGCTCATAAGGGAGGTCTTTGACAAGCGATTAGTACTTTTTGGGTTTTTCTCAGATGGCTCAATCCTCAGATTTCCATCAGTTTCATTTCATACTTCAGTAACAAATTGGACATATGTACATGCATGCTGTCATTTGCAGATTAAGTTGGCGTAAATGGCCAGTTGAGTTCTCCACTAACCCAACTTAATATGTAAGAACCTATAGTCTTGGCGAAATACACTCAGTTACAAATTAATCTGGTGTCAACAAGGGCGTCAACTTAATTGCAAATGAGCGTATTCCAGCAATTTTGTACGATTTTGTGTTTAAGTAGACTATAAAGTCGACGGAACTCGGGGACTACGCCTACCTGACGATGATGACGACTATAACAAGCAGCCGATAAGACAGTAAAAACTAGGGCCCTGGTTAATAAGTAACAACAGACCACAGCGATTCGGATGGCTGCGGGTAGTTGTGATGAGGTCAACGTAGTGACCTCTTGAAAAAACAAAGGGGTGCACTGAGGAGAAAGGAGAAATTTTTTGGTTGGCATTCAGAAGGGTGTGCGGAGAAAATGTGTCAGCAACTGCGCACCAGGCTGCGACAGCCATGAATTATAGAAACAGTGAATGACAAAGAATCGCACGCTGATTTTAATAATCTTGGACACATGGTTCGCAATTACACTGATGCGCTGGAATGCTGTCCTGTGCGTTCACAATTGACTTCAGGCCGAACCGATTTTTTCCTATACGAGCACACAGTCATAAAGGATTCGGACACAGGAAATGAAAGAAAAATGACGTACACAGAGCAGCAAACTTGGTGCTGCTTTTGTCTCTCGTCCACCCTGTAATCACCCCGGTCTGAACAGTTGCATTTATGTGTGTTTACGAGTTCAACATGTGTGCGTGCGGTTCGACGGTCGTCCACACGATGTTTGGTGCAGACCTGTCCCAGATTGTGGACAATGCGGGATACAATCCCGCCAAGCTGGTGTGGGGTCGTGCATACTACCCCGTAAAGTAAAATCATCGCACAATAAATTTTCGGCCCGGGATTCTAAATTTGCCTCGAAAATACCAGAGGTGATACGGCACTTGCTCTATCAACAAACCACCTTGTAAACCAAAGAAACTGGCCTTTGTGAGTTAGCGGTTTTTGTTTGCTTGGACACAAAAATCCATCAAGTCAGTTGGCTCAGAACACCGCACCGGAGCACTGGTCCCCAAATACCACAGATCATACAGGAATAAGTACTGCCGGAAGTTTCATGTGCCATGATTGGAGCTGACAGAAAATTATACCGATTTCACAGTGGAAAAAATTCGAAACCAGAAGGCAGCCCTTCTCATCAACGAGCATTTCAGTTGGACGTGACATTATCGATCGTCCTCGCATTCGGGAGAGACTGCTGAAAAAGGAAATGGTGCTACGGGATACACAGGTTCATTCGATTTCCTCTGAGCTGTAGTCGGAACCAAGTCATACTGAAATTCATTGGTGAAACGAACGTCATGATTTTTGCCGGCTGAAGAGTGGGGTTACTGACTGCAGCTAGGTGAGTCTGAGCAGCAGTCAGCGTGCTTGAGAGGCAAGATCAGCGACACCGTTAGGTGATGTACTCAGCGTGCTTGAGAGGCAAGATCAGCGACGCCGTTAGGACGTGCGAGGGGCTTGGGAGATCGACAGAGGCGGGCTCAGGTGGGTCGACTGGGTGAGTGTAGTCAAATGGCCCGTGTATGCATGAGCGCGAAACGACGAGTCGCTCACGTGTGTGGGCAAGGTGTTCGAATTGAAGGGGAACATTTGCTGAAGAGAGAGCGAAATTTAGGTTTCCTTTCAACTAACACAATAATGTTAACGAAATACTAGGATTCCTTTGAGCTGACTGACCAATCATTAGGGCCATTCACTGGACCGTTTTTTCGGTGTTCTAGGGAGGATATGGCACCATGCAACTTTACATAACCGGACGGAATGTTAGGAACTTATTTTTGCTGTTTGATGCAAATAAGCCTGCTCTATCGACATTGGGAGGCATAATGTTGTGTTCCTGAGGGAGCCTAGTAGTAGTCATATCCGGTGGAAAATACCCGAGAATTATTTCGGACGAAGACTGATGTCTGTCTGCATGTGACATATCTGTGTATTCTTGATTTGTCGCATGTTCATGTTCATTGCCACGACTGCTGGTCGCAGTAATATTCTTATTCTACGGGAACATCCACATTCTCACCTATTTTGCCCGCCTACTAGATTATGGGCGATTGAGGTTTCACTACAGTAAAGTAGGTGGCAGCTTTGCCTTTCTGTAGACAAAAGCTGATCGAAATGTTTAATTGGATACTGGATTGCCAGGTGAAGACGGTGAATCATACGTTGCATTAAGACATGCTTTGTGGAGGCTTTCACCATGAAATCAGGTAGAGCAAGAACATACTGTCTTTGTGCGTGCAGCACACTGAAGAAGAGGAACATTGTGAACCATGTTCTGACGTTTCCTGTAACATATGAAACAGGTAACCAGCGAAGGCGCGTATTAAATGGTCGTACTAAATGAGCGCCGTTGCTAGGGCTGTTTATTGCGTCAGAATAAGACAACATTTTGTCGGATAGGTCTCCATAGCAGTCATGGTTTCTGAAATGCATAGTCAGATTTGGTAGTCGGTAGTTGGTCGTGGTTGGCACAACCCACTAACCCACCACTACGCACCACTACGCTCCCAATAACGCACTGATGATGTCACCTCGATTGGTGATGACACGTTTGCAATCAAACTGCCCAGCTCAGTGAGCAAGCCAACGACCATCTACGCTACCTGAGCTACCGACACTTTCCTCTATAGTGGTCGGTGTTATTTGGAACTAATTAAGAAGCGAGATATTAGAATAGTGCACTACCGCAGTTGTCAAGCAACCCTTATCTCTGTCACCTTTGAATAAAGAAATTTGATTTCAGTTTGCAAAACTGATTTACGGCGCAACCTTATAGCTCTGCATCCGTCTTTGGAACGTAAGGCTTACAGGTTAGCCTTGTAGCTGGTTTCCTATCTCCTAGGCTCAGGTTGGGGTAAATGGTGATCAAGAAGCCTCGCTTGTTAATTTTGCCAGATAGGTTTCGAATTCCAACCTTTCCAATATGTTCTCATCCACACAAAACCTAGGTTACATTGTGGAGAAATGGATATGGCACCATGCAACTTTACATAACCGGACGGAACGTTAGGAACTTATTTTTGCTGTTTGATGCAAATAAGCCTGCTCTATCGACATTGGGAGGCATAATGTTGTGTTCCTGAGGGAGCCTAGTAGTAGTCATATCCGGTGGAAAATACCCGAGAATTATTTCGGACGAAGACTGATGTCTGTCTGCATGTGACATATCTGTGTATTCTTGATTTGTCGCATGTTCATGTTCATTGCCACGACTGCTGGTCGCAGTAATATTCTTATTCTACGGGAACATCCACATTCTCACCTATTTTGCCCGCCTACTAGATTATGGGCGATTGAGGTTTCACTACAGTAAAGTAGGTGGCAGCTTTGCCTTTCTGTAGACAAAAGCTGATCGAAATGTTTAATTGGATACTGGATTGCCAGGTGAAGACGGTGAATCATACGTTGCATTAAGACATGCTTTGTGGAGGCTTTCACCATGAAATCAGGTAGAGCAAGAACATACTGTCTTTGTGCGTGCAGCACACTGAAGAAGAGGAACATTGTGAACCATGTTCTGACGTTTCCTGTAACATATGAAACAGGTAACCAGCGAAGGCGCGTATTAAATGGTCGTACTAAATGAGCGCCGTTGCTAGGGCTGTTTATTGCGTCAGAATAAGACAACATTTTGTCGGATAGGTCTCCATAGCAGTCATGGTTTCTGAAATGCATAGTCAGATTTGGTAGTCGGTAGTTGGTCGTGGTTGGCACAACCCACTAACCCACCGCTACGCACCACTACGCTCCCAATAACGCACTGATGATGTCACCTCGATTGGTGATGACACGTTTGCAATCAAACTGCCCAGCTCAGTGAGCAAGCCAACGACCATCTACGCTACCTGAGCTACCGACACTTTCCTCTATAGTGGTCGGTATTATTTGGAACTAATTAAGAGGCGAGATATTAGAATAGTGCACTACCGCAGTTGTCAAGCAACCCTTATCTCTGTCACCTTTGAATAAAGAAATTTGATTTCAGTTTGCAAAACTGATTTACGGCGCAACCTTATAGCTCTGCATCCGTCTTTGGAACGTAAGGCTTACAGGTTAGCCTTGTAGCTGGTTTCCATCTCCTTGGGCTCAGGTTGGGGTAAATGGTGATCAAGAAGCCTCGCTTGTTAATTTTGCCAGATAGGTTTCGAATTCCAACCTTTCCAATATGTTCTCATCCACACAAAACCTAGGTTACATTGTGGAGAAATGTGACGCACTCACCGGGACCTGGGAGAAGGTACCTGCTTCGATCACCGGGACCTCCTGTCCAGTGCGTGGACTGGTCGAAGGTAAACGCTATCGATTCCGTGTGACTGCGGTCAATGCTCTGGGGAGCAGTGAACCAACGGAGGCAATTGGTGTCTACACAGCCAAAAATCCTTTCGGTAAGTTGCTAGACTCCTACGGTTCGTACTGACCGTGCGACCGAGTGCTCTGGAAATGCCAATTACATGTGTGAACACAAGGCACAGACACGCAAAGTAGCAAAACAAACAATGATGTAACCTGGGAAACATCACGTTCTGAGTCCGATTTTTTTATTTGTATGGCAGTGACGCAGGACGACTCAGTAAAAATAAGAAATCTTGTTAGCAAAACAAACAATGATGTAACCTGGGAAACATCACGTTCTGAGTCCGATTTTTTTATTTGTATGGCAGTGACGCAGGACGACTCAGTAAAAATAAGAAATCTTGTTAGCAAAACAAACAATGATGTAACCTGGGAAACATCACGTTCTGAGTCCGATTTTTTTATTTGTATGGCAGTGACGCAGGACGACTCAGTAAAAATAAGAAATCTTGTCTAAAGTGCGAAACCATCTTTCTTGACTGTTCATATCGAGGCAGACACCTACAGCCGAATGGCTAGGACCTAAGAAGACTGGACTTGTTTATTTCCTATCCACGCCAGTCTAGTTCGACATTCCCCTGCTCTACTGTGAGTGTTTTGTTCAGTTCACGCCAAAGACAAAGCACTGAATTCAGGTTTTGCTCCCGTCAAATCTTGTCCTCGGCCGGTCGTCGTGCCCACTACAGCTACTCCACCAGCTCGGACTGACCACACTGAAGTCATCTGGTGTCGTAAAAACATGTTCGTGCTTATTTCATACGCTTACCTTGTATGGTGTCCGGACCGATGTCTCAGCCACAGTTCTCGCTATGAGTACTCCCAGGATTGACCGTCAGGACAGGAGGACGTCTGTTCAAACAAGAGTGATGTGAACGTGAATAAGAGATTCCCTTTCGGCAAGCATAACACTGACACTAGAACGTCATTTTGGCCAAAGCCAATTTTGGAACAACAGCACGGTTATAGCCATTGCATGCATCCAGGGGAAATCGCAGTTCGAATTTGTCTTAATGTTGCAGACACAACTTCACCCTTTACGATAACAGCCGTAACTGGCCCTATTTATGTCATTCCTGTCACCGCTTCGGAAGTGCAGTGAACACAGAGAACATTTCGCACAGGAGCGACCGATAGTATGAACCAAAAGCGTATGACAGGTCGTGGGACAAAAACATGGGAACGTAGTGAGTACGTACTACTAACCAATTGGCTGAATGTAGGTCATGTTAGCGCGTGACATTGGTCCCACCACTGTGGGGCGCGTGGTCTAGTAAACCTTAACATAAGTTGGGGAAAAAGATACTATATTGAGATCAACTGAGTCAATAGTTTTATCACTTTGTATGTGAATGTAGCTAGCGACTGCACATCTCGTATACGGAATTTTCCTAAGCGGCGTATCTCTGTAGGGCAAATCGAGGATTCCGGGCCTTTTCTTGGGCTTCTATGCTACCGTCAAAGGCCCCCAAACCTATAGAATTAACAACACGATATCAACCAGAACTTGGTTGTCACACCACAGGGTAAAGAATTCCTCTTCAAAAGTACTCTGACATCATTACTGCTGTTTTAGCTTGCCAGCTTAAAGGGTATATTTTCAAGCACCCATCGATACGCTGCGCTAAGAAATATTTCAGTATCCCTCCTAAAATTCGGGACCTGACTCATTAGCGAAATGGGGTACACAGTTCAGTTGTGAGTTTATTTCGGAAAATAGGTTTCGATATCTGAAGCATGTTGGACCAGATCACCAATTTGTTCCTAGTTCGAATTCGACAGCTGGTCATTGTGAGATCAGTTCGTGGCCAGTGATGAGATTTACGGATTGGCTTCGCATCAACGATTATCCTAATTCATACATCAAAAGCTCGGTAGATGCTTTTTGGTTGGCTTGTTTGTAGAACTTTTGTAATGGTTTACCCGTACGCACTATGTACAAGGTAAAGGAATAAAATGGCGATCAGTTAGGCCATTGGTTACTTTTGATTATTCATTTCTTCCGCTCTGATCAAGATTTACTTTGTATGTTATCGTTGTCGACACTGAACTGATATGAACTGATGATTGGCTATACTAATAGCAAGCCCCAGTTGTGAATCGACCAGAATAGTTGGGCCTGGACAGAAAAGGATTGAGCGAGTGCTTAAAAGAATCCAATACTTATGCGCACGTCTAGTTACCGAAATAGGACCTTAATCATCACAGCGCAATCGAACAGTACATATTCTCATCAATGACTTACGAAGCAATACCCCATATGTCCTCATTTCAAAACTTTTGCATACCTATGTGATATGCGCTCAGTCATAGTTACATAGTTTTCTATGGTAAGTTAGGACTCGAAAGCATTCATCACTCCGTAAAAAACTACCCCCTTCTAATATTTACTGAGCTATCCGGTTAGATCTCGGAGCGTCTTTTAACAGCCCTTTCGTACCTAACTTTTGATGCACGATTTCAGCATTCTAGGACCTATATCATTTTATGAACTTCACAACAGCACCCACCTTCACGGGAGAGAGATGAGGGTTTTTGGCGATAGGTCTAAAGTCTTCATCCGCGTAGAGTCCCAAATTGCTCGAGGAGCAAGAAGTACTACCACAAACAAGACCACTTGGTTAACCATCAACGTAACGCTCATATACTTTTAAGAAACCGATCCATCTTGCTGCAATAAAACGAGCTACAAGTAACTTCTTTAATCCAAAAGTCTCAGAACACGTCTCTTTTTAATTCTTGTCGTCCGTTAAGTTCACTATCTCACATATCGGATGCAGGTTCCTTAAAATAGCGAAAGTTTATCGAGATACCTGATCAGTGCTGTCCGGCTCACACTGCTGTCTAGCTATTGCATTAGGCTTACGCAACCATTCATTTGGAGGGGCAGTTGCGTTCGTCATGTCTCAATTTACTTATCGCACTGACAGGTTTTCTGTCCTACCTTGAATGACACAGACAGATCGGGGCCAGTTCACTTGCTCTGTGCCTCAACCTGCGCATCGCTTAGTCATAACCTTTGAACACAGGTCTAACATTTCGAAACCGCATAATTAGCAAAGAGGGACAGCACGGTCATTTCTACAGTCTTCGGATCAGTTCGGCCTTAGCAATACACTGGATGTAGTAGCGCCCATCTGTTTTTGCGATCTCGCGCTCAAAAACTGGGATCTCGGTGACAGACCATGTCCCTGACGGTACTCAATGAAAAGTGTTGATCCGCCGGTGTCCAGCCCGTGATACACTGCATTTTGAACCAAAAGTAGGTTGAATGGACCAAAAGCAGCTCTTCGGCTGTTGAGACATTGACTAGTTGTAAAAAGCTCGCTCGTACATAGTAGTACGATTTTACCTCCGTGGTCTGAGATTGTCTTTGGCGTTGATAGGACAAAATCTTTCTGCCAAACGAGGCGGCTTTCTTACCGAGGCGTAACGTTCGACAACCTACGCCCGATGTTCACTGGTCGAAAATTGATGTAAAATCCCATAGGGTTTACACCAGAACAATAAAAAAGCCTTGGTCAAATTGCTCTCATGTCTGGACAGCACATCCTCACAAGAAAACCATCAAATTTTACACGGCATTCTAAATTCTAAATCAATCTTCCTACAAAAGAATAAGAATGGACCACATGTCACGCACCCGAAAAAACTTAAACCATTAACCGAGCGGATCTTTCGGCATTTCTAGGGAACTACTAGGGAATATACTTTGAAATCTATAAAAGTGAAGGAAATATTTTGTAAGCTTAGATTGCCTGCAAACTGTCCAGAAGAACTTTAGTTCGATTGAAATCCGAGTTTCTCCCACTTATTCGTATTGAGTATAGCTGGTCAACAGTCACTAACAAGTTATATTCAGCCGGGAAGCGTTATATGAAGCAGCAAGCCAACTAACAGCTGTCTTTTGGGCATATGCCCCCATTATCAATACAACCAGGGAAACTAGTTACTGAATTTACTATGGGTTCATGCAGTCGCTCACTGAGATACCCTCATTGGTAAGTTGAGACGCCGTTCCGAGAGATGAGCATGCCGGGCTCGTGCTTATTTCAGCGTGCCTAGACTTTGGATTATCCTTTGATGTATTCTGAGAAGTAGCATGGTTTGAATGACTGTCATGTTACCCGCACTATTAACTCATGCGAGCTCAATGGGTGCATGTCCAAGTGAGTGTACGTACCTAGGTAGGGCAGTGGACGGAAGACTTATCTGCGTAGAGTCTTGATTTTCATTCAGTTCCAGTCGACTTGCAGTGGAACATGTGATCCCTACACCAAAACCAACCCATTCTCATTAATTCAGGTTTTGTTAAGGTGGTTCATCGGTTTTTCCTCGTCGGCACATCGGCGCATCTTCGGGAGAACTTCAAAATTTAAAACTCTCTATTCTAAAGGATTCTCGTCTTGTTAATTAAGTGAACAGTTTTGATGTTCCGGAATAGCAATTACGGATGTTGCGCTCTAAAAATAGAGTGACACTGTGTGGTTTTGTTGCCGGTTGCATCGGTTTAGTCGCCTTGGCTGTACCAGTTTCAGGCAACACAACAACCTCTGCAGTGCAGTGTGGAGCGGCATTGCACTACAAAACACACAAAATGTTATGAGCATTGTTTTTTCAACTAAAACCGCATTGTTGTGTAACCCTCTGTTGATGCACCATCTTTGTCGGCTAGCTTTTATTGCTTCGTTCCCACTGGTCCATTTTAGTGCACCAGGAAATTTCGAAAAAAGTTGCGGGAAGAGCATGACCTCTCAGGAACACACCAGTAAATTATAGCATTTCTGAACAGGTAAATGAATAAGTAAAATACAGAAGAAAAATGAACAAAGGCTTTGAAACTCTGCAGGAACCCGACCTGATCTGTCTTTTTTGCTAAATGAACGTCTAGACGATGTTTCGAATATCGTACCAAATGAAACGTGAGGCTACTCGGTGGGCACATTCAGTCGAAGCGGACCATCATAAACAATAGATTCGGGTGAATTCAGTCGAGTCTCCAGTTCGGACGAATTCTTGTGCAAATGAGAGCACTTGTATAGTTTTTGGTTCAAATATAATACAAGGTTACTGGAAACTTGGAGACTACACCTACTTAGTGAGCCCCAATGAGGGCGAAAGTGTCGTGGGCTGTCGAGGAATTTCCAGCAACTTTATGAGTAGTATCCTACGTTTAGACAAAAACGCACTGCTCTTTTACTCATGTTCGACCACCTCTAAATTCACCTATACACTAAGCTGTTCCCCAGTTCCGTATTTGTTCTAACTTCAGGCCTCCAGATGCCGTCAACGTGTAGTCCAAATGCGTTACAGTGAGACTATTAAGTCCAATTGTGTGTCTGAACCCAGCCCCTCGTGACCGGTATGGTAAGGTAGATATACTAGGTCTGGTAAGTTTTCACTCAAGGTGCCAGTCCACAGTGGAATACATGACGTGAACTGCGTCGTTGAAGGTCAGAGGAGCTATTTCCTCTTTACACACGAGATAATCACACTGCTGCTAAGACATGCATAGTGGAGTGGCAAACCTTTTAATTACCAACCACAAAGCCACGGATTCGAATGTCCTAATGGATTTGTGAGATGCGCACTGCCGACGATTTTCGAAGAGTTGTATTAGGTTACTCGGTTTCTCATCATAGATCGACTCAACCAACGTGATACAACTTCGATCAAGGTCTCGAAATCTCCTCAGGACCTATAAATAGTTGAAGTGCACAGAGAGAAGATGGAAATCATCCTTATGATGTTAGTTTATTGAGGAAAATAGTGATATTAGCATGTCTCAGAAGACTTAATTTCCTTCTGACATAATACTAATACTAACAGGTTGCTGTGCAGGAGGGCCACTCAACAGACGAATGTTCAGCTACCCGACATCAGGAAGTCAGTAAGGGCTTTTCAGAAGAGCGAATTCACTCATGAGCGGGACTGATTGGAAGGTTCCTCAGATGGAACAGTATCAGCGATGGACGTGGCACACGCAAACTCCACTTTAGATAGTGAAATACTCCTAACCTTTGGTATCCGGCATGCATCGGTAACTGGTGAAACCACTGGTCTAGTTTTGTCCAAATTCCTTTCAGATGTACCTGATTCACCGGAGAACTTGAACATTGACAGCTACGATAAACATTCCGTCAATCTCTCTTGGAATCCACCCAAGCACGATGGAGGAAATCCCATTAAAGGTAAACTTGCTTCACTTGAAGATGAATCGCTTTGCTAAATCAAAATCCGGGGTTATTTGTATCAAATATGATATATGTCCTAAAAGCTCTAGACTTCTCTGAATATCTGCCACCTGGATGGTTACGTATTGTAATAAATTTAGTTTGGTAAATGCATGGTAAATCGATCCAGTATCCAAAACAGTAAATGACTGCATGCGGAGCCGCATCCTGTTTACACAATCAGTGGAAATGATGATAATCTTTACATCTCGCGACAAGCCCATTCAGACCTCATCAACACCTATAACACAAAAGTCTCACTGACATCAATTCCCAGTAATAGGCCTCGCTAAGCTCGCTAATAAATCAGGCCAGATATTTCCAATTTGTCGTAGGTGTGGCAAGCTGATTGATAATTTTTAAAATGGAAAGGGAGTGAATTAGACCGAAGCTGGATATAAAGGAAGTCGTCGATGTCCTGGGCTTTCAGAACATGCTTTAACGGGTGTCATCTGTGTTGGCAAGCTGGTGATTTTTTGCTGAAAATGGGGTCAGCCTGAATAAACAAGCTATTGCTTCAATCGAACCGCCGATTCTCAACAACTGTTCGTCAGTCACCTACTCCTTGTCTTGGAGCCCAGCCGAATAATGAGATTCAGCCTCCTAGAAGAACGGCATCCTCTTGTCGCTACTCATAAACCTGCCAATAGTTTGGTTAACATATGGATCATCTTTTGCATTCCGAATCAGCTACGGCTGAAATTTGACACTCAACAACTCAGTTCTGGTCATTGACTGCTAACCATTTGTAATTACACTTCGGTGCTTCTCTGTTTCAGAGCTTATCGCTCAATAGAAGGTAGTCGTGAAGAAATCTAACACCTACTTGCGATGTGCGAGATGGATGAATAAATGCCTTCCGAATCTTAGCCATAGATGGATGTGAGGCTAGAAGGGCCATAAAAGATACAGTTGATGTAAATCAGAGTGTTCCTTCGTCAACTTAGTAGTACTGAAACCGCTTGCTGTATGTCTGAATTCTGTACCGTTTCTGGGAGTGGTGGGCTGCCTTACTTGTAAGATGTTCTTTACTCAACTAATTGCAACTAAGTTTTGTACAGTGTTAACTATACGCGACGGGTTACTTCATTTTCAACTTCTTCATTTTTTATTGAGGCTTCCTCAAGTTTTCAAACCTTTCCTGCGACGTAAAATTTAAGTTTATCAGACTGATTCTCATTAACCGAATATCATATATTCTTGGGTCCAATGGATTTCTCGTAGGGGTCTTACAGTCCCACAATTTGGGACACCTAACATCATTTTCCTTCTTCTTTTCAGGATACCTGGTTGAGAAGCGGACTCCGAAAGGCGAATGGAAGCCTGCCACTTCTGGTCTGGTTACCGGTCCAAGTGTTTATTTGCCCGGCTTGGAACAAGGCCAGACTTATGAGTTTCGTGTGAGCGCGGTAAATGATGCCGGACCTGGACGGCCATCTCGAGCAACAGCACCTCAGGTTATCAAGGACCCAAGTTGTACGTTTGGAGTATTCGTGCTAGTTTTACTGAAATTACGTTACGGTTGTCTGATGAATGTGGGTAGATAATGATACTGATTACCGCATACCAACCTATCTGACTGTCGTAGCCAAAGCAAGGTCATCTGATTTGTTGGACTGTCTAATTTCACAAACTAAAGTACATTACAGCCCCGCCCACGGGATTTCCACGAGACATCAATCGTCACTGATATACTCCAGATTGCCGTCTGGATTTTATCGTAATGTTTGGTTGATTCCTGTCTAATCTATGCGCGCAGGCCAGGTTTGTGCAACGACAGTTATAACACGCCTAACTCCCCAGATCTAACTCACATTCTCCCATTTGCACGCGGATGAAGGATGCACAATGACGCCACGAATAAGCGCTTTCTGGTCGTTTGTTTATCTGTTCTCCTTAATGAATGGATTGAGGTGGTGGAAAGAGAACGAAGTTTTTATCACCGGGGAGGTTTCACCACTGTTTTCTGAAAAACGGCCCTTTATTCTCTAAAAGCATACAGACTCCCGTGAATTCCGGAAATACAATCGACTTCTTTATTTGTATTAGCAGCCATAGAGCCATGTCTATTAAAACCATTTATCTTTTGGACTACAGCTGACTGAATCACGGAGGATGGTGAACTAGTGCCGTTTGAAAATTCACTTTTTCCGTCTGCAGTTCTGATTAGTACCAGACAGAGAATGTTGGCAGCAGTCACACTACACAGGTAATAGGAAATACAAATGGTAGTGCTTGCAATGCATTGAGTATGCCTATCGGCTGATCTCACATTGTACCGTTTTGCGCGGGCAAAAGCCTATGTTATACAACGAGGCTTTCCTCATTTAAAGATAGCTCTTCGCTTCTTGGTTCCGTTACTTGAGACTACTTTAGTGAATCTATCCAACCTGTTTCCCTATTGCTGCCATGCCCCCGTTCTCGCATCACTTGTGTTTGTTGACAGTGAGGGACAGGATATTCTCTATTATACCATTCTAAAGCCCTTGTATCAGTATGTTAAGCTGAAACGTAAACGGATCATACACCCAAATCCATGCTCTTCAGATCCAGCTGCTGCGCCAGAAAGCTTGAATGTGGACAAGGTTAACAAAAATGGTGTGAAGCTCTCCTGGCAGAAACCACGGAAAGATGGTGGCAGCAAAATCACCGGCTATCAGGTGGAAAAGAAGGACGATGCTGGTAATTGGGTTCCAGTGAAACAAACCACCGAGCCATGTGCGTTTATTCCGATGAAGGAAGGTGAGACGAGTCAGTTCCGCGTTCGAGCCATTAACGATGAAGGGCCGGGTGAACCAACAAAACCAACAGCACCATTGACTGCGGTGAATCAGCCAGAAGCCCCGAGGATTGTTACTCCGGAGGACTGTGTCGGTGGACCAGGAACAGGTGTTGGTGGCCTGAAAGACGTAACACTGAAGGTAATTCTCCTATCCACCCCAGTAAATAGCGACGAGAACACAAAGATTTGTTGCACTAGCTGTAGCCCTCCATAACAGTTTTATTGTTTAAGGCAAAGAATAACCCTCTAGAGAGAGTTTCTTCTGCTCAGTGCATTTAACTGTATGTTAATGGGTAATGTGCACTCAAATCCGAATTCCGTGTAAAGCTGGGTAATTTCCGCCAGAGGGAAAATTACAAATTTGCATTTTCTTCCTGAATGGACAATGCTAATTTTGGATTTCGCTTTTGGAGTCACGAATTCATACGAATCTGTGTAGTCCGATTTAATTCATCCATTTTCCACTTGATGGGTACGTTTGTTTACAGAATATGAGTGGATAACCAGCTCAAAGGACGCTGAGGGAGCAGTCTTAAGGTGTGGGAAAATATTTGTTAGTGTCTTCCGAAATGCTATCCGAAGATACGTGCCTTGAAGTATTTACGTTCGGTAAGAAGCCTTTCGGTTAACAAGTAAAACCCGCATGCATACGTGCTGAATTGGTGAACTATAGGTTTCCCATGGATACCTCCAAAACAGTACGGAAACTTTTGGTATCTTTTAGTCTCAATGGCTAATCTTTCTTCGTGGGTGGTGATATCGAAAAAAGTCGTACTATTCAGCACATCTGTACGTGCTTTTTATGGGGGCGCCCTGCTACTGATTTAGGGCGTCGATTATTTTCGGTCCAATCGCCCACCGAGTTACAGTCGTCCAGAAAAATATGGGTATAAGCCTTATCGTATTATTATTTACTAGCTAGTAAGCATGCAGTGTGAAATTTTTAACTCAACTAGCTGGTCCGTCTCTCCTGGGTTCTAGTATTGAACACTTGGAAATCCAGGGTTCGACCCGCTTCGTGCCGGCCCTGGAGCTATTGTATCTCTCGGGGTATTTGGTAAATAAAATGATCGCAATCTGGACCGGCTTTGGGATGGGCGCCCTCGTCCGACCTTAGCATTTTGACGATCCGTGCGTCAACCTGAAGACCATGCTGGAACTCCAACTTCTTGAACACCTTAACAATGACGATCTGACATCGTTTCAGTGATACCCCTCGGCACATTCCTTGATTTCGGAGGAAGAAATGGTCTCTCAATTTCCTTCACACATAAACGACCTTGAATTGCGGTTATTTAGCTTTCGGACGACGGTTACTAATCGGTATATAGAGGTAACAGTTTTGATAGGGCAGCCGAGCAAGAACTGGAATAGTTTTAAAATTAAGGCTCGCAGATCCAGTAGATCGAAAAGAGAAGCGCCACAGGTCGAAGCGACGGCCAGTGTAACGGAAAATCGGTACATACGCTCATCATTGTTATTGCCCAAAGCAATGCTGGCGCTTCACCGCTGACTACAGTAGCAGTTGCCGTTGTCGAACTCACCCTACAAGAATTACAACCCCGACGATGCCGGTAGAAGAGAAACTTTGTAACGTGAAGTGAAGGTAAAAAGATATCGACCCCTACACTTTGGTACTTGCTGAGGCCAGACTATGACAATACTGTTACACCATTGCAATAAGTGAGAACAGCCCAGTCAGTCGACATGATTTAAAATGATTTAAGTGATTTAAAAAAACTGGGTACAGAACTCAACGAAATTTGACTGAGCGAAGGCAAGAAAGTGAAACAGCCATCCCACTCTGGATAGATAACCAGATTAGATCGACCAAAATAGTCTCTTCTGCCAGGTGATCTCTGCTGGCACGGAGGTTTTATTGGAATATGCTTGGAGCGACCAGCCAGAATTGGTCTCTTGAATATGGAACCTCCAGAAAGGGACAGCTGTAGCACGAAGCTCCTAAGGCCTCAAACTGGAAGATCTCTTTTAGGAGTGCAGTTATTTGTGTCCAGTTCACTGGATCACGCTGGAAATCAAAAATCAATCTGCGTCCCACAGACTGGTCTGTCTACTCAGTAGTCGATACAGGCACTAGAACACACTCATTCACACGTTTAGCAAGGTCAAGTTTCCTTCAGATCGAATTTCAAAGCTGTCTTGCTTTGGTTTGGTTTGTGTACGACGCGTGTTAACGCTTCATATGGGAAGGTAAGTAGCATGCATTATCATGCCAACCCCATCTCTGTGCCCATTTCACAATGACATCTTAACCCCGAACGTAACAAAGAATGAAGAATGATTCGTCTAATTAGCCGATCAAACAGAGGGATGTTACCTATGGCAAGATGGAAAGCCATATCAAACACGAGGCTGCAACCAGCTCTGTAAGCTGAAGAAAACCGGATCACAGTGCAGTGCGGACTAATAAGAACGGGCCAATAAACTCGAAGAAGGAAACTAACTAAGGTCGAAAATGCCGGAGTAGCCAACCAACCTGAAGGAAGGCAGACCGCAAGCGACAGAAATCGCAGAGACTAAAACTCCTGAGAGGCAGTCATTCAGCGGACAAGTCGAATGCGAGGAATACATATTGGAAAGCAACAATAATAGCAGATGAAGCGGTTGGCTAATTACGTCAATAGAAATCAGATAAGTGAACAGAGAGACAACCATGCATGTACTAAGTTAGTATCCATCCAACCTCGCATTGACGATTTTTCCTCGATTAATGATGAAGCGTTTTCAGAACAGTTGCAAAACTGGGTGGAAAAACGAAAAAACCCTGACCAACAACTGGAAGTGATACTCTGTCACTTGTGCACAGTTTTATGGCGTCGTTTCTTGTGCCCTCGTTTCTCCCTTTTTTGGTTTACTCTTCTTGATGGGGTGACCATGGGCCACGGTCAACCGTATGATTGCACACTTTAATTCAGGTCAACTTCCAGTGCCATTTTCAGTCTGAAAATTTCAGTGCTGTTCATACCATTGTTCAGGTTTTTCTACTCCTTGTGCTCTTGTGCTTCCTGCATCACGTGAACATAGAATTATATTAGTATCACTCATCATGTGAAATATTCTGGCCTGCGCTTGTTCGTGGTTCTAATTCATTCTGACCCCCGTCTACACTTTAGGCTGGCCAAGAACTCAAACTCCCAGTGGCATGGTTCGGTCATCCTGTTCCTACATTCAGCTGGACGTTGGATGGAAAACCGATTCGAATCGATGGTTCGCGCGTCACTTCGACGGATGAACCACTTCCGCCTCCCGCGCACCCTGGTCCTGGTGGTCCGCTAGAGCAGTCACCAGGTGCTATTACGGCGCTCAAAGTAGGCAAGGTAACGCGGGCCGATCGAGGTCGATATCAGCTTACGATGAGCAATGACTTGGGACAAGCCACTACCTCCTGTCATGTGGAAGTTCTTGGTAAGAGGTCACTTACTCTTTTGCGATTTAAAAAATTATGATTTTGCTGAAGCGGTGGTAGGGGACTGGATATTGTAAATGATGAAACGATCTCGTCACTCGCAATCGGCACTTCTGATTGTAAAAATACTTCAGCACGATGAGATTGTATGCCAGTGAACTGATGGGACTTAACCACGCGATTTATGTCCCCAACGAAGATTGACAGGTTTTCAACGTTGGACCCTATAGCAAATGAATTGAAAGTTATGATCCAAAGGCGTTTTCATGATTGTGAGTGAACGGCGCAAGTGTCCACCTCAGTGAGCGCCTACCATACTGGAACAACGCCGCCAGATTAGCTCGAGAATAGGGAGGTGGAAAGTAATTATTATATTCAACTGGCCTGCTGTTATCACGCCTCTCAGACTAGCTAGTGTTTTTCAACCTTTCTGACTTTGAATTGAAAGCTGATATCAAAAGCAATGTTGAAAATACACCCATAGATCTCAGTTGCCACCTTACATCTTCACTTTTCCGGTGTCTTACATTTGCGCCTGTTCCGATTTGCGTCTCCAGATGTACCAGGATCTCCAGGTGGTCCACTGGAGGCAGTCGAAGTGAAAGCTGATGAGATTACACTGAAGTGGAAGGCACCAGAAGATGATGGTGGTCAGCCTATCACTAATTATATTTTGGAGAAACGTCCCAAAGGTTCCGACACGTATGTAAACTTGTGCCAGTTAATCCCGTTGCATTGAATATTGCAGACTAAATGAATTCACATTATACATCTTTTTTCAAAGTAAACGATACACCTGAACAACTATCCTGTTATCCGGCTCATTGCTGCTTAGCTTTTCTTCTGCAACCCATAGAAATTTACGCAGTGTTTTCCAGGGACTGTTAAATATGAATCGTTTTTCCTCCTTGCTAGTATTCAGATGAGTAAAAGTAAACAAGCACAAAAATACGAAAATGGACTGGAGTAGCCTAACTTCCTAAGGGCCACGAATTGTCTGAATGTGTGATGCCCTTATGCACGGATGAAGGTAGCAGTTGTCTAAGTGGAAAAATCTGAATTATCCAGCGCATTCTCAGGTGAGAACGTCTTCTCTCTGGTTGAGAACAACTTGAAGCTGACTCTGGTTTGCCGGGGCGATACGATCTCCACTAGCTACTTTTTCGGGTTGGTCAGTATGCTCATTATTGAATGTGAGCATAATTAGTTCCTTATACATGCTTGAGAGTTGCATCACAAATGGCACAGAAAGTCGTAAACGGAGACTCACCATAAAGATTTGTTACAAATCCGAAGCAAACACGCCCAAAATGCTATCCGGCGAGGCCGCAAAAGTTGGACTCCAGCTTTGGCACTATTGATACGGTGGTGTTTCATGCTCACATTCACCTTACTCTGGCAAGTTTTCAGGTTTTCTGACGAATTCCTTAGTAGTGCGGCTGCTTCGTAGCCAACCCATAAAGTATGTAAAAAAGGCTTTTCAAGGGAAGAAATTTGCTCTAGTACCAGATGCCGATTTGTACTACTTCTTGGTGTTTGCACAATCGGGTGCAGCACACGCTCAGTTCCCATCCATATACTTCTAAATAGCGTAAGTAATACTACACGTCACCTTTGTGTATATTATAAAACCAGCAGAAAAACTGAACAAGCGATAGTTGGCGGTAGATATAGCCCTATAGACAGACATCACAGTAGTGTTTCGGTTTTATACTGTAATAAACAGTGCTCGATGACAGGGAGTAAGTATCGTAACATCAATGAAGCATGTGGACATATGGGTATTTATATGTCTGCATACCGGGTCTAGCTCGACGTCGAATCAGTTGATTGTTTGTTTTCTTATGAATTTCAATCTTGTAAACCTCAGCTTCTGTTCTTTTGTGTAGTTGGCAGAAAGTTAGTGCATTCCTCAAATCACCAACAGCCACAGTCCGAAATCTGGAAGAAGGTAAAGAATATGAGTTTCGTGTGATGGCTGAAAACCCCATGGGCGTGAGCGAACCTCTCGTGACCGAACGCGCTGTTAAAGCAAGGCATCCATTTGGTAAGTTTGGTTATCGACAAAGGTCGCATCGGCGCTCTGTATTTGACGTGCTGCGCGAGCCTTGTTCACTGGAAACCTGCATAAATTGAATCGACTGATAGTTTGTTTAGAAGGAGCGTTTGGCAAATCTTGATGTTAATATGATGAGAATGCCTCCGCCTTCGGCAAGCCGACTAGCTTCGAGCTAGTTGCTTTTTGCATTTCATGGACTACCCATCTAGAAAAATGAAAGTTACTTTTTCATCCCACTCAGTAGTTCAGCTTCAACGCAAGGGGTCTTCGCCATCTAGTTTGCTAACTAAACTAAGCTGATGGGTGGCATAGGTAGGTGCATTTAGCCTGCGATACAACCAAAGACTAACACTGCTGATCGGCTCGTAGCTGTCCATTCATTTATTGATAGCAGTTTCAGAATAACCGTTTTTCTCCGCCAAGTCACACTTGCCTAGATTGTTTTGATCTGTAGTGGTCTGGCTACCCAATAAGTTAGTTTTCCAGGAGTGTGTGGCAAAGAGATAAAAATAATTACGCTAGGTTGGGTATACAAAAATAAAGAGATCAGATGGAACAGGCTCACTAACAATTTGTCCAGAGGTCTTCTTCTGAACAGTTCCCACATATAATAGATTCCGAAGATGTCTGAAATGTTTTGGTACCAGAGTTAGTACACGAGACTCGCGAATGACCGCTGCAAACGCGAGCGAAATCATAAAAGAGAGTCGAAGCTTGTATTATGTGAAATTGTACAAGTGCGCGTTTTTTTAGTTTTTCGTATTTAAACAAAAGACGATTATGCAATTGATGAAATACGTAGTGTTATAATGGAAGTGAATTAAAGGTACAAAACGCCACAGATCTTAGTGACCAGAGTGTGTGCTGATCCGGGTGCCTTGGAAGTTGCAGTTTCACTCATTACAGGCTGAAAATTCTCTGTATTCCTTTTACATTACTGTTTGATATTTATTGAAGATTTTATCTAGAGCTGTTCGGCAATGCCCGAAATCGAAGGCATTGTGCTTAGGTGAAGTTGAGTGTGGCTTCCCTCGCTCTCGCTGAAACTTTGGCCCTTGCAAAGTATTGGACATGAAGCAACTCTAGCTGCCTGTCTAATATGCGTCTGTTATCGTTACGCGAGTTGACACTGTTGTGTCGTCCGGAGGTAACCCGTCAACTCGCGTAAGGAAGAAGCCAAAGTCGAGCACAGGAACAGGTCTTTTTGGCCGCGAAGTAGGGCGGTTTATATACATCGGAAAAATGGCATGAATTGGCTGAGACTTTCTCTTCAACCGAATAACCAATAGGAACCAACAGTTATGCACGATCGAGCAGAAAAATAACGAAATGCAACGACCAATAGGAGTCACACGTGAGAGCGGAACGAGGATAAATCAATAGGGACTCAGCACGATGCAATCTGGTGGCTGAACGTGTGGTGACGACAAATATAAGCAGAATGTGAGAATTGACCAGAAACGTTCAGTCCGTAGTTAAGACGAAATTTTAGACAATTAACAGTTCCGTTCTGGTAACAGACACAGTTTTAAGTGTTAGCGTAGAATTCCTATCCACATCGGTTGACAAGTCCTCCTCCCACAACTATTCTGGTGCCTCCACACTAAAGGGGAGAAGCATTGGATTCGAGTTTCGTTCTTATCTGACCCCATCAGCAGTGCACATAACCTTGGCGTGCCGGGATTGAAGTCCGGACATCTGACATACGGTGTGTGCGTTTTTCCTCTATCCCACCAGCACACGCTGAATGCGCCAGAATTATGACGTCTGAACAGGCGAACGTCTGCACGCTTGAACGAAGCGACTGGTTGGCCCGAAACTCGGGTGACAACCAAGTAACTATCCCGGGGTCTTTCCGATCCGCCTGTCAGGTCTTTCCAGTCAGGTAGCGCCGCGGACGCCTGAAACATGCTGGACCACGTTTGATTAGTTGTAGGTGATTGCGCGATTTGTGGAATTTGTTGTCACAGGTGACATCGAGCATGTGACTGCTTAACCAATGAGGTCAAGACGTACATGGATAGAGAAGAAGGACAAAGACCAGTGTTTTTACCCTATAAGGTAGAATAGCTGATGTGATGTGCCCCCGGGCAGACAATGGGTATCGACACATACTGTCATATTTGAACAGGTGTAAACAGGTCTTATTTGAAGGGTCACAAGGTAAACAGGTGGAGAATAACTAATAAAATACGTTTTGCCAAAGAGGATCCGAGGGACTTTCTGTACAACCCAATACAGTTAGTTATTCCTATTGAGTTGGACCAAGTAACTGTGAGCCTTCGAACCTTCGCACCTTTTACCTTCACTCGATGGACTGGTGTAACGATCTCCTACGAACTCGTCTCTTATGGCATGTTAAATAAAAGTAGTGAGTTAACAAACCATATAAGAACAATTCGCTTTAGCCCACAAGGAAGAATAGTTTATACTTGCGTGAACCTTCCATCTGAGGACCCAGTAGTATAGATTCCGGGATCGAAGGATGGCAGACAGCACATCGTGTCTGAGTGTGAGTTGAACACAGTGCCGGTGAGGCGTTCGTGGCCGAACGGAGAAGCTCCCTGGTGATTCGCGACGGTCCGCGTTACTGCTGATTCTCAACACAGGTGAAACACCTTTTCAGTGTTTTTCAACCTCTCGGCGTAGACTGCTCACTTATAATTCTGTCACACAACCGTGTGACTTTCCATTCCATACAGATCCGCCTTCTGGAATGTCCACCCCACATGTGGAAGAAGTAACAGATGATTCAGTGACCTTGGCCTGGGAACCACCGCACAAAGGACCCACAACTGGATATATAGTTGAAAAACGGGCCAAAGGCGACCGGAATTGGAGCAAGTAAGTTTCGCCCGTGTATCTTTTCGGCAGCGAACTAGAAAATTCTAAGGTTTACTGCAGCCCCTCTGATTTACTCTTCCAGTTAAAATAACACTGTTCACGTCCGGCAGCGTTTTCGTATTTGCAGACTGGGCATCATAAATTTCCGTCGTACCTGAAAGTCCAGTCAAATGTAAGATAATATGAACCCAAATATTAACAACTCTCTGGGAACGGCGGCAGGGAAGGAGATATGTTGGCCTCATCGGTTTCCGGTCCTTGGTTATAATTAACTGGCTACTTATTAGTAGTCATTTTCACGACATTTTGAAATCCTTAGGCGCTGGGACAAATACAGCGAGCTTGTGCATCTACACATGCTGACAGCATTTATTTGAGAGGTTGCGAGGGTGTCGAGATGCCTAGGGTCGACCCTTAGCTGCTTTGCTAAGCAACAAGCAACCAAAAATAGTCAGATACACCTGCTGTCACATTTCGATGCTCTGCTTCAGTTTTTCTTCCGGTGAGTTCTAAGTTGTTACACAACCCAAATGTATGCCTTTTTTCTCATTCTTCCCGTGTTCAAACTCTAGGCTCCATGAAGTAGCCTTGTACTTGAACCAAATGCTTTTTTATATTAGGGCTTCTTCTTGTGGTGTTGAAAGTTTAACTGTGTGAAATCGAAACGACACCTTACAAATCGGACAGCTAACAGCACTTCTCTCCCACCTTCGTGGTTGAATGAACTTTGCGCACAGCGCAAGCCCTTAGTGTGTATTGGTTCCTGACCGGTTGTTCACATGACCTACTGTCTGCCGCTGACCCTACCCTTTTTCCGTGTTTGTGAGTCTGGTAAAGTTGATTGGGCCAGGAGAAACGCGACAATGGTGACGGATGAATCGGAAAAGTAGTTGGAGCTGGGATTTACATTTACCGTAATTGTAACCATATTTTGGAGTCTTTCGTTCGCTCGGTTCGCAGTGCCCTCGATAGAGTTATTTTGATAACCGTGCTATGCTTGTGGCCAAATCTTCAGGACCTAGCTTAGTCGAGCGACACATTATCTCGTTTTGGATACTAATGCATAGTTGTTATCATGTTCATTTCCAATAGGGTTAATGCACATCCAATTTCTGGTACCGAATACACCGTAAAAAGCCTACCTCAGGGCAAAGAATTTGAGTTCCGTGTGGTCCCAGTGAATGCAGCCGGATCAGGAGAACCGAGTGACCCAACTCCGCTAACCAAAATCCAAAGACCCACAGGTGATTGACCATTCTTTTGTTAACTTTGTTTATCGTGGTTTCCTTCGAGTATCTCCAGCTTCCGTACTATTGAGGTGACCACACTCTCGGATTTTGTTCAACGGCCCAAAAGGTCGAACACTACATTGTTTTTGTCTGATTCATTGGAGTAACGGTTCCATTTCACAGATCATTGAATACAAGGTCTCCACTATGGTGAATCAAAGCTGACAAAGACCTCGCAGTCACTAGTTACTGCCTTCTGGACATCGCAAGTACGATGTATCTAATACTATAGGTTATGCACGAAACTGTAGCATTTCTTAAATGCACCCTCGTAACTACCGTTCGCTTCTCGCAAGGACGTAAGCATTCAAACATATGTTGTTTATTTACGTGTTTGCGTAAACTAACTTCGCTTTGGCCTGCAGAAGGCCGCTTGCTGGAGTACAGTTCCACGAATTACCTACTGGATATTCACAAATGGTAGTCTACGAAACAATCGAGTTCATTGGACCTAACAATTTTCCGTTTTTGAACCCTTATCACCGTAGATTTGTTTGGCCGCACATTTGGAACAGCGGTCTTTCAACTCTGTCATTACTATTCTTTTCCAGAGGCTCCAAAGATTGGCAGGGATGCTCCACGAGAAATAAATGCTGCTAATGAGGAGCCATTCAAAATTCGAATCCCGTACACTGGAAGCCCACCGGATGATGTTGAAGTCACAAAAGTAGGTGTTGGCCTCATTAATTCAGAGACTTTTTTTACAAGCCATCACGATTCACTGTTTCTTAGGGTACTTCTATCACTCGTCGGACTATACATTCGGTTTAGGGCGTCGTGCAGATTGTGCGGACTAGTTTTGTCGCGATTTTGTCCTTTGATCTGCTACTGACAGGCCAATTCAAGCAAACCGTTTGACGAATGGGCTTACTAATAGTCCTATCTCGCGTAATCCTAAATTTTCCAGTTCAACTCATAGTTGATATAAGTAGGGAATACTATATTTCTACTTGTGGTCCAGATGCTTTTCAGTTGTTTTTCCGTGTCACCGTTTTCATGATGAGCATCTAAGCGCAAGAGCGTAAACAGACAGAGTGTAAACAGACTCAATTCCCTGCGCACATAGACGACGAACCGTATTCCCTCTCTATAATGCCGTTTAAAAACAAGCAAACTTCTCCTTTTTAGAGCTGTAGGTTGTTAGCTAGAGGGACAGTTGTTCAGAAGAAATTACAATGAGATGTGAATTTTGTTGATGCGAGTTATTTCCTATGAACACCCATTGCTGCCACATGGTTAAGTTTAAGTCAACATACTCAACCCGTTTCCCTACTCATCAGTTCCGCAACTGCGGCAACTGCATTTCCATAAACTGATGGAATACATTTCTTGTTGTAGGATGGCAAACCGTTTTCTGTGAACAGTGGTCGATTCCAGCTTACAATCACGCCCGATGAGGTCATTATCACGGATACGAAGGCTGACAAGAGCGATGAAGGAGACTATAAAATCAAGCTGAAGAACTCAAAGGGTGAAGACACGCTTCCTTTGAAGATTCGAGTACGCGGGCCGCCGTCTGCTCCACAAGGACCATTAGAAGTGTCGAATATCAAGGCAGACTCTTGCACATTGAGTTGGGGGCCACCAACTGTGAGTAACCCATTTACGAATAGATCGTGGCAAAATCACATCCCAGTTTTCTCCAGCACTTCTGCGGCTTTCCCTTATACAGAGTATTGCTTTTCGACATAAAGTAGCCAGTTTATTATCTGAACTAGTCTGAGGGGAGATTCCTTTCATTTCATTCAGGACAATGGAGGAAGCCCTGTCTCACACTACGTTATTGAGCGGCAAAACCCGGCTACTGGTGAATGGATGTCGGTCAGTAAATTTGTCCGGTCTCCAGAATATGACGTGCTTGGCCTGGAAGAGGGTCAGAAACATAACTTCCGTGTTCGAGCTGCCAATGAGTTTGGACTCAGTGAACCATTGGAACTTGACCGACCATTTATTTCAGAGAATCCTAAAAGTGAGTAGTGACATATTTTGACGAAATCACCTGACGTTTTCTGATGGCATCCACGGTTGTTATCCGCCTGAGAGACTGAATTTAGGATAGACTACCCTTTCTTCGGATGTCATTCTCAGATATGAAGGACTGTAAAATAATTAATTCGGAATAATTTCTCCATGTTCTCCCTACTTATTCAGTTCCGCCGGAGGCTCCTGGTGTGCCAGAAGTTGCCGATGTAGATTCGGATACGGTGACTCTTGAATGGACCAAGCCTCGAAACGATGGAGGTGGTCGAATAAATGGGTATGTGGTGGAAGTTAGACCAGCCAGCGGAGGTGACTGGGAGAAAGCACAAACTGGTCCTGTCAAAGGAACAAGTGCAACCGGTAAGTGTTGAATTGCATTAGGTAAATCTACCGGATAAACAATCGTTCAGGAACTTCGTGGAGCGGTGCTATTTGGGTTAATAAATATTGGACTACACTGGATTTCGTCTTGTTGGGATTATTCCACTGAAGTTGCGAGATAAACAGTTTCATGTGGAGTTTTCAACAGTATCCTGTTGTCTAAAACTTCATCACTGTGTATTGTGGGGTTCTAGTTATGCAGGTAGGATCTGATTGTACAACGGTGACAGGTTCTTCAAATATTTGGTACACTAGTCAGTTTGGGACAACTTGCTTGGATTGACATGTAGTTCATAAAAAAGTATCCAATACAAGTTATTCTCTACAGTCAACAAACAAGTTAAGAAAGACAAAATAGGTGCTTTCAGTAAACGTTTAACCTGAATCAACGGCAGATTCGAATCATGTTGCTGGTAATATCTTCTTCAGAGTTTGCGTTGAAAGTCTTTCAGTGAAGCAGATGTTGTCTGGTTAACCAAGGTAACAAGAGCAACGTTAAGTAACACCCACCGTGCTGCAACTAAATATACTGCCTACTCCGATTCGACTAATTTTTCGTCCTTTTTTCACTCCCTACAGTGATCGGTTTGAAGAAAGGCGAGAAATACATGTTCCGTGTTTCAGCCAAGAATGATGCTGGGGTCGGTGAACCAAGCAGACCCACTAGACCAGTCGAATGTAAACCGAAACACAGTGAGTACTTTTTGCATTGTATGTTGTTTTTGGATTAAGGCTACTTAGTATGAACTTTCGTTCAAGTGTGAATTAGTCCACTTTGCAACGATTTGAGACTAAGATCCAACACTTAGTTTAGCTGGTCGTAGTAGATGTTCCTGAACGTTTTAAGGGACGCAGGTCACTATATTGAAAGATGAAAGTAAAGATGTAGATGAAGAGTCCATCCAAAGGAAGACCATGCTGTTCCTTCTAGCTCGTCACTAGATGGTCAATGCTTCATTGTCTCCCGCAACTGAGAATCCAATTGTGTAGTCACGCTGACAGGTGAAAAATTAAACAAGAACCACACATCCAATGGTAAATCCAACCACGGTTTTTAAGAGGAAATTTAGCGAAGGAAAAAGCTTTCTGGCTCCTAGAATTTATTTAATCCCATACTTTATCTTGCCTTTGCGCTTTGCGCATCGCAGCACCGGCCGATGCTCCGGGGACGGTCAACGTTGATGGAGTGGGCAAAAATCATGTTGATCTGTCCTGGACCCGCCCGATCCGGGATGGTGGAGCTCGAATCCTAGGCTATCAGGTTGAGATGCGAAAGAAAGACTCTCCTGATTGGGTTCCTGTCAATCCGGATGGTCAACCCATCACAAGCAATTACTGCCACGTGGACGGTTTGAACGAAGGTGATGATTGTCAATTTCGGGTGCGCACACTAAACGCAGCGGGGCTGGGAGAGCCGAGTACTCCGACACCCATGATCCGGGTAGAGGATCGCAAAGGTAATTACTACGAAATGTACAGTTAAGTACAACAACCTTTTCTATCATTGACAGTTAATTTTCTAGCTCTTCCCTCCGGCCGTGGAATTATGGTCTACAGGAAGAACACTATTTTACTGAATTTCGCCTTGCGTGGAAAAACATCTAGACTGCTTTTTCTATGGAACTGTTCTAGGTGTACCCCCCATGTTCTTCACTTCCACCTAACAGCCACTGAAACTCCTGACTTTGTGTACAAAATCCGACCGACAACTGCTCCACTCGGTGGAACTGCTGTGTTCGAAGCCCAGGTGGATGGACAACCAACGCCCGACGTTCGCTGGTACCGTGATGGTATTGAGCTGGTTCCTGGGCCTCGTGTTCGCATCAGGCCGCCCGGTCCTGATGGGAAAGCGGTTTTGGAGTTGACCGATTTAGACGACCGTGACAATGGCACAATCACTTGTCAACTTTCCAATCCATCCGGAAAGAATTCTTGTTCTGCTCCTCTAGAAGTGCTGGGTGAGTGTGTGGTGTATTTAAACTGTATATCCGGTTATAATCCTAACTTTCACTATCACATCGAATCCAACCGCTCTAAACGCGGCTTCTAGTAGCCCATCACAGCTTCGCACCTTCTTTAGTGACATGTTAATCTCCTGTAATACAGCAATAACTACAGCAAGAATCCTGCGGCAAAGACACGACACAGTTACCACTATTAATCAAAAGAAGCTTGTTGAAATTGAATGGTTGACTGACCGAAGATAACCTAGTCAGCCGGTAACATGGTTTCAGACACCAGTATTTACCTCCTGTCAAGTTCTCATTTGATGGGAACCATGAACCAGGAGAGCCAAACTACAACCCGTGTAAAGGCTATACGTATTACTAGAACTCGCTTACCTCCATTTAGCGAACAGATGGTTTCTATCTATGCTTTGGCATTACTGGTCATTCGAAGTGCGGATGGATTATAATGACGACAGAAAGTCAGTATGCCTTCATCCGCTTCGATAAGCTTGTATGCCGTGTAAAGTAGACTAAGTCTGCTAACCAAACTGCCAAGCGAAACGGACAGAACAACAGCTCTCTATACAACCTGAGGTTGTCAAGCTGCGTCCAGAACACATGTTGTGGACACATGTGTTGTGACTTTTCACAGGGATAGATTTGACATGGACATCAACCAAACGTCATACTGGTCATTCGAAGTGCGGATGGATTATAATGACGACAGAAAGTCAGTATGCCTTCATCCGCTTCGATAAGCTTGTATGCCGTGTAAAGTAGACTAAGTCTGCTAACCAAACTGCCAAGCGAAACGGACAGAACAACAGCTCTCTATACAACCTGAGGTTGTCAAGCTGCGTCCAGAACACATGTTGTGGACACATGTGTTGTGACTTTTCACAGGGATAGATTTGACATGGACATCAACTCAAACACGTCATATTGTTCGTCGCAGCCCAATTTTTATAACCTCGGGCGAATGAACAGTGAAGTGGTCAATCTGTTGGTGAAACCGAATTCACTGAGCGTCGTTCTTAGGGCATTCTTAAGTATGCACGGACCATGAGCCTAGTTAACACTTTTCATGCAAATTTGCTCAGCGTACATAACACCTTGTGTCGTCAGCGACCTGCAAAATCAGAGCCTTCATTACTGGTTCCAAGACCAGTGGTCATGGCGCTTGCAACCAATAATACATGATGTTTACAAGAGAATATTATTCGACAGTACTACGTCACCATTGAAGCTTCAATGCGATCATTTCCAACCGATTTGTACAAACAGAAATAAATTATGGAAAGTGACAATACACTTCGAATATGTTAATGAAATTTGCATTGATAGAATGGAACAGGAATAAGTGGTTACTGTCCTTTTTCGTCGCCGTTTGTTGGCATTGTCATACTGTGGGAAAAACCAAGGGCGAAGTACGTTAGTGCGCGCAGCGCCTGAGTTCTTACCGTTAAAGTGTAGACGGCAAGTGATATGACAGCTACTTTTCTGAATCGAACAGAATTAATAGCCGTCAAACAGCGAACAAATTTCTCCAGTTCTCCCACACATCCGATGAAATAGTGGTCCTTTTGTTTTGTAGGGCGTTCATGACATTCCCTGGAATTTTATTATAAAACCTGAGTCAGGACATAAGTATTCAAGTTCACAATGTTTAAGTGCAACCAATGCTTACGTGAGAATATTGTTACTTAAGTCTGTACTACTGAGTAACTCACAATCGGATATCGGTCCAAACAGTGATGCAAATCAGAACACGGTTACACGGCGATACGTTGTATCTAGGTAGAGGTGCGATGCTACGAAGTACAGGGTTGTTTTGCAGGTTTTAACGAGGTTTAAATGTTTTGGATTGAGCGCCCGGAACATAATATTTTACGATCAGTACGCTAATGACGTTTGAATTTGTGGATGTACAAGTGGGAGTTAAGCAGAGAAACACTGCTATCACTGGTAATATAGCGGTAATAGTCATAATTACAATAATGTATTACCTGGTTCTATGGCTAATCATACGACGTTGGTACAACTTCCCTGTAGAGATGACATCCATCACTGGAATTCGCTGCAAGTATCTGGCAGTCCTGTAAGTTTGTTTACTTTAGAACAGTAGTCCTTCATGTAGAACAAAACTGGACAGGAGTTTCGATGGAAGTGCGCTGTACGAATTTCTGATAAACCTGCGTGACTGTTAGTCTGAGTTGCAAAGTGTACACCACTCAGATGGTAGTCACTGCATTATCGTCAAAACCATATGTTTCCCTTCAGTGCAACTCATCTACGAACTATGTGTGTGTATGTATGAAAGCTTACACATTCTAGGGCAGCTGTTGTTAACAGACCTGCACCGTTGTCCAAACACACCAGTTTGACAGCGAACTTCGTGGTGTACACCTCCTTGCCCTCATGAGTTAGTGTAATGGCTGTCCATCCACGATACGTCTAGGTGCAGCTCTGTCAACTGCAATGTCCCTTTAGACGCTAAATCAGGCAAGGGGCACTAATGAAGTTTGTGAAAGCTGTTTACTTTGCCTCTATATCAGCACGCTGGTTTATCACGACGCATCCGTCGATATACCGTCAGCTCCTTGCTTCACTAACCTACTAAGCCGTGTATACAATTTTCCTACTCATTTCTCATCTTACCGAGTTCACTCAGCACTACAGCCTTTTACATGTGAATACTTTTCTGTGGGATTTTTCGATGTGCACCGGTATACTCTGCAATTTTCTGAGCCCTAAATCCTTAATTCCCAATCACAAAGGCCATTGGCTATCGGTTGGGTGTTTGAAGTATGTATTTGGATGGTTCCCGGATAACTAGTATGAGCCAGTTAGTTGTTCACTGGACGGCATTTTTGAATAAAACGAAAAACCTCAACGCTACGATCCCCACCCAAAGGAATCACACAGTTAGTCGTGCCTAATGGGTTAAACACTTCATAAACATGTCTTCTCCCCAAAGAGTTTATTTTTTTGGGCGGGAGGGAGGGGGAGGTCCGGATACTAATGAATAAGATGAGATAAGATAATGTTTCTTCATTTATTTAGTGCTCGTTAGGGGTTGGGGTAAGTATCCAAGGCGCTAGGGAGAGTGATCAGCGGAAAGTTTCATGATCAGTGCCTTGCAGGTGGGGAGCACTTTTATGGTGCAGTTATGAGGCGCCACAGTTCAGTCTAACCGTCTGGGAGATGGAAGTACTGAACCTGTAGCTCCGTTCCAGTACTATGCTTGTGAACCAGATATACAGACAGCTGCTTCAATCAGCTTTCTGCACCGAATAACCGTTGTGATTGCTATGTGGATCTTTATATTTTAACCGTTAGTCCGTTGGATGAAAATATCTATGTGTAGTCTTGTGGTTGATCTCAAGCTATATTTCAACCTCAAAAGACACTTGTCACGCGATAGGCAGCTGACCCGCCTTACCCAAACAAAGTAATGTTCACTGTGTCATACTCGGTTTACTTAACGAGCTTCCCCGCAAAGACATCCACCGGTGCGATACCATGTCCATGTATATTACTTTGAAGAGACATGTCGACCTGAATGTGAAATGACCAGTGCACCCACGGAAAATCATGCCATTAGGTGTGATGGAGCGGAACCGTAATCCTGAGGGGCCAAAATTTGCTGCACACGCACTCCGTATGATTGCTTGGGTTAGCAGGTACTTACGGAAGGGTCGTTAGGAGGATGGAGTACCTTTCAAGTGAAACTGTAAGCAACCAAATTTGCTTTGTTGTACACATTCTGATTCCGCTTACCGAAACACGCGAATAATTTATGATCCTGAAGTTGCCCATCTTATCGTTTTCGAAAAAGTGTGGTGCCAATCGCTAGATTTATTGCTAGGCAACGTTTCGCTTTTGACACAAAAGCTTCATCAGGCCAAGTTACTAGGTTCCGAGGTTGGTCGAGATTTAAGGCGGAAGGAGAACCAATCAGCTAAGTCAAGCTAACTCTCTGTTGGGTGTCGGTCGAGGGATTTTAGTGCGTTAAAGTGGTTGAACAAGTGTTGGGTCGGTGGGGAAACCTACACGTGTTTGGGTCCAGCCTAGGTCCTAGTTCTTCTGGTTCGGTTCGTTTGATGGTCCCTCTTGAACGTCGTTTGAACCTTCTGTCAGTCTGTGTGGGTGAGCTAGTGCTAAGATAGTTGTGTAACAGGGATAATGTGACCTTTGGTCGGTTGGGGTTTCCACCCTCACCCCGGTTTTTTCTAATGGTCCTAAGTGGATTGACAACCACACCGTCACGTGTCATCTCGGTTTATCTAAGACCGCTTTCTATACGCTCGCTAGCTCCACACCCTGATTCTATATACACTGTGATGCTTAGTAATTTCCACCACCTCGGCTATCAGCCGCTGTGGTGTGAATCGCAATCCTCGTCTTAAAACTTCCACATTCTCCAGATCTATTCTGTGTCCTGCGTCTAAGGCATGTACCGTCATCGCTGAGTCTTTGACCAGCGTTTGGTATCCTTCTGCATTCCTTGGTGGCTTGTTAATCCTTCTTTTATGCTCACCAATTCTGGTGTGCAATTTCCTGGCAGTTTGTCCTATATAAACCTTAGCGCAATCGTTGCAGTTAATTGAACACACACAGTCCCTAGTCCTATCAACCGGCAGGGGGTCTTTCAATTGCACGAAAACTGAGCGTAGCGTTTTCCCTTCTGAAAAGCCCACCTTATATTGTGCCTTTACTGCAGTGTTCTTCGTTAACTCTAGAGTTCCGTTTTTCCTTATCTGTTCATCAGCAATCCCGAGACCTCTTTCAAATGTTGATGATAAGGTCGCATCCGAAGGTGATCTCATCAAAATCAAGGTCCCATATTTGGGTAGAGGGAATATTGAACTCAAGCTCAAACGAGACGGGCGTGAGGTGCCTGAGTCAAGTCGGGTGAAACTTGTGGACCTTGACGGAATCGCCACTGTCCAACTGAAAGGTAAACATAATCATGTATTTTTGTTGATGTTTTTCTTGAAGCTGAAGATGACAAGGTTCACGATATTTTGAAGATTTATGCTCCATCCCTGGTAGCATTTGCTGAAGGCTAGAGCAATGTCTAGAAAGTCAGGTCCTCTGAGCATGACTCCTGATTAGCTTTCTTGACTCCGTCCTCTTTTCCCTATGTTGTCGTTAAGCCATCGTGTAGTTATCCAGCACCATATATTGCTCCATAAAATACGAGCACCCAGCCCTGTAAGCACTTTTTGTCGCTGAGCTTCAGCCCACGTAACTGGAGGATTACGTTGTTGTTCACTATGATTGGTCATGAAGACGGAAAAAAATCACTCAAGTAGGGAGATCTAAATCGAGCTAGCTCAAACTGTATTCGACCGTGAAAATGTTAGTCAGGATTCGTTGACGCGTTGCTTGTTGTTACTGATAGAATTGCGGATAATTATTACTGCAGTGGTTGTGGTACTTGTCAGTGTAATCGCATCAGGTCGATTACTGCTGCGCCATAAACCTGTTTTTCTCTGTAAGTCCTGCTTGTTCCGTTCGATGTACCATACTGTGCCTTTCCGTGAAACAGTTTTGCAAGTATCATACGCTCGAGCGGTTTCAATCAAAGTTGAGTCTTGTCGAGTTTTAAAGACGTAGATCCACAAAAACAAAGTTTTTCGTTTCTTTGCAGATATCACACGTGACATGGGCGGAGACTACAGCTTGGAAATCGGCAATGAGAGTGGGTCCTGCAACGTTCCGTTCACTGTTCGGGTGTTGTGTAAGTTTATCTGTTGTGCTGTGCCTATGAGTGATGACCACAAAAAACGCTGTTCACATATCAACCACACTATCCGATATCGGCACTGTGCCAAAATCTCGGTAGCTCTAGTGCGTTCTGAGTGGGCTGGTTTTTGACCTGTTCGGTGGGCCTGACATTTGACTTACGGAGCGTTTGTCTCTGGGGCGACATCGATATTGCGCGCTTGGGGCCGTACCTACTGCCACTCAAGCGCGCAAAGACGGACTGTTCAACAGCCACTTGACCAGTGGCCAATATCCAGTGTCGTGTATCCCCTGGCAAATGAGATTTGTAACAAAAAAACTGAAAATGTTTCTACATCTAACTGAACTGGTTTAAAAGTTCTTATAGGTTGGAAACAGAATTCACCTTGCTCGTATTGTCAGCTCCCTTATGACATTAGTTCCTTTGAGTTTTGATAACTGTATGGGATTAGCAAAAAAAGGTTCGAGTTTCTAGTATTAAACCGAATGCTACCGACCACTGGCTAGGCCCTCTGGTCTGTTTTTAACTTTCATGCAAACTGTAAGGTATGTTTTTGATTTTTTCTACCGATTCTGACCTACTTTGGAGAATTAGGTGAATGCGCATCGATCTTATTAATGACAGATATGGAATGTATGTACAGCCTCTTATCCAGAAGACTTAAAAAATGAAGGGACTAGGGTTTTAGAGATACTAATTACGACAGCAACAGCAGTTTCATGTATCCACCCTTCTGCATGATTCAGATAATGCACACAGTCCGATTTTATGAAGCGATAGCCTGTGTATATGAGATTAAATTCATTGATTAAGTCAGGCTCGTTTGAGACTACTTGTATGCTACTTCATTGCCAAAGACCGGACAGAACGAGAAGTAATATCCTCAACTGAACACTTCGGCCAGACGCAGAGAAACTGTCATTGACCTAGGATTGGTTCCGTAATATCAATTGTATGAGGTATGTCACCATACATTTTTCGCTCCCAACCTGAAGTATTGAATGATTCCGTTCGCTTCACTCGGTGGTTTCAAACTTGGGATCATAACCAACTGCAAGATCGCGAAATGCACTCATATACACACTAACTTGGTTTTAACGGGAAACTCAAGTAAATCCAGCTGAATCTCTCGTTTGTGTTACTCATCAACTGAATGTGTTGCACAAAGGCCGTCTAGATATCTATTATTATCTCAAAATGCGTTCAGTTTGGGCTCAGTTAGGAAAGTAAAGGAATTTCTGGGACTGCGTCTATCTGATGAGCCCCCAGGAATGGCGAACCCGGTCGTGGGACTGTCGAAGAGTTTTCAGCAATCTTATGAGTAGTGTGAGTTCTAGTAAATCTGTTACCTTAGTCCTAACGACCAACCGGACTGAATCGCACAAACTTTGAAGCTTCCTTTCCAAGTATGCATTCATGTATCTGTGTGGGCTTGGATATTCGATAATGGAACTGGTAAAAGGATGCCACAATCAGTTTAACACTGAGCACAAGGGGTTGGCAGCAGCAAACTCAGTGCATTGTGGCCATTCAGCGGGCAGCGATGTGTTATTCCCCCACTTTTTCAGGCAGTGACAAGAACCAAACACGCCATAACAAGCATATGACACAACACTAACAAGGTCTGAATTCCCAATACCTAGCCGCGACGCCGAACGAAACGGGTGAGGAATTAAAGTGTGTGTTTCTAATAATATTCCAACCATATACCACACATTCCGAAAACTCAACAACGGGATTGAAATGAACAAACACCTGCCTCAATTAGTAAAAAGTCGACTTGGCCATGAACCACACTAGTAATCCTCCCTCTAAGAAATTATTATTCCAGAAGACAGCCCACATCACGGCACGCATAGATAAACCAGGCCTTGGTGGGTGAGATTGATGAGTCACAAATCATAGTGGTACGGCCTGTTATAGTTTACGGTACACTTGTTATCAGCGTCGGTGGTGGAGGAAGAACGTAGAGCACCACACGCGACGCACAGGTGGCAAACTGAATACAGTTCACGCCAAGGGTGCCGGTTTTTTTTCGAGTACATACCTTTGTTATGTCATACTCGGATTTTGTCTTAGCTCCCACTTTTGTTTTTCTTCATAGCCCCTCCGAGTGAATGTCAAGGTCCTCTGGTTGCTTCTGATACAACACCGTTCAGCACAAGACTCAGCTGGAAGCCTCCTCGGTCGGACGGAGGTTCTAAGGTCACGCACTACGTCATCGAGAAGATGGAAGTCGGTCGAGACCGATGGGTACCGGTTTCGTCTGGGACTCGTGAACCTACCTGCGAAGTCCAGGGCTTGCAAGAAAACGCTAAGTATCTATTCCGGGTTGCAGCGGTGAATGACTGCGGACAAGGAGACTGGATACAGCTGCCGGCACCTTTGGTCGCTCGATATCCGTTTGGTAAGATGGACGGATAGTTTATTCACTTAGGCAGTTTTCTAGACAGCCAATTACCAAGTTAATAATTGAAAACGTGTGCGTGATGTGGAGAGCATCTGGTATTGATAAGTCACACACGATTTTGCGAAATTGTTCTACAATGGGTTTTGATGATCACCAGTATTACCATGAGGGTGAAATATTGAAATATGCACTCTTACAATAATTGGTGGTTTTATAGGCGTAAGTGTGGTTGAGACTGAGTCTGAACAGAGATTTTCATGAAATAAACATTAGCGGTGAAAATGAACCATTTCGATGCTATCGTTTATGGCCCGGTGTATATAAGATTGTTTCATCTAGGAAGATCAGTTTTTGCCCTTGGAATGACTTCAGCATGTGTTCCTGCATTGGAGAAGCATGCACAGAGCGTTCTGGATGGCCGGTCTCTGATCAAGGGCCGCGTGAACCTGAAGAAGAGCGACATCCCCTAGCTGAATGCAAGCTCCACATCTCACTGCGCCGCACTGCAGATGGACTTTTTATTCAAAAACTGGATTTGCCAACATTTGGGGATCTGTTGTCTCCAGTTTTACCAAACACTCGTGATGTTCATCCTCGGATTAGCATTTGTGGAGCCAGCTGATTTTACTGAGTGCGGAAGGCCAGTGTAGTAACGTAGACAGTAAACAAGCCGTGGAACTTCGTGTATGTAATGTGCTCGTCAAAGTGCAACGTGGCACTGAGGGTATTTCCACTTTCGATGCTCTGAATTAATATCTTGAATTCCGGCTATTCCGCGGATCAGAACAGGTTGTTGATTTCACGTTGAGCTCGCACATAAGCCCTAAAGTTTAGCCAGTTAACAGTCGTGATGACAGATATTGGAAGGCAACGAGGGCTGATTCAGTTTTGCAATGAATCCGCGCTTCGTCCATCTATCACTGTTTTGTCACCTTATCGGTGCCTGCAGTACTTTCATAGTCCGATATGTCGTAGTTAGGCTTTTGTGATGTCTCTTTGAGATGTCTTGGCTGTCCACTTAATGCATATAGGTACTCTTCTTTGTTTATGGTGGAACTTGTGTGGGTTACATATTTCTTCCTGTTATTCAACCGATAACGGCCAGTCACTTTGTGGCAGGCTTACTTACTGCACCGCACACAGAGCTTTTTGCATGAACTATATAAATACAATCAGCGAAGCAATGAGCATCTGTTTTTACCATTATTACAACGCATCTGCACTCTGCGCGTTTGAGCCAGGACATTGAAAAAGGGGCACCTTATTCTTACAGTTTCAAACATTCACTCCATTGGGCTATTATAGGTGGTGCAGTGAGAAACTCTGCTATTATGTGAGGCCGGGTATAAAGTTGCTCGTACGGAACTCAGAGGAAAAGGGACTGGAATGACTGTGGATTTCGCGGGCTTTTACACACAACTCTGTGTTTGTGGTAACACTCAGTCGTTCAAATCCGATTACACAAGTTCCTCATCAAATTCAGCAAAGGCGAAATAGTTATTCGTTTCTTCTACTGTGTCCAGGAAAACGTTCATGAACAAAGTGCGCAGATTTTCGTGGGACGCTGGGCATGTACTTTCAAGACGTCCTTGTTAGGTAGAAGAGTCGAGGCCGGTTCTTTTGAGTGGTAATTAATGATATTACACTTTGAGCTACCTGCTCTAAATCGCCACGTCACTCTCAGCAGTGACTTGACATGAATGTCTTTAGATAAAAAGGATAAACCAAAGGTGAGGTTGGCGTAGACGTAGGAAGAATGATCATCAGTTTTCGCTTGCAACAAATGGTCCTCACTTCAACCGGTGCAAAGAGTTCCCATTTCCGATCAAGCATGTTCCGAAGTTTGGGGTAAACATTTCAACTTAACGTGAAGCCAATCGACGCAAGTAAACCTTTTTGATGTTCTGACCGCCATCTGAAGGTATTTCCCCGGTTGAAGTTTTCTTAGATGGTGTTTTTCTGCGGCACTTTACAGTGTCCCTGACAATTTACTGTTCTGGTTCAGAGCCTTAACCGGGTCTTGTAGTCGTCAGCCTCTGTTCCAATAGATTTCCCCTGACACCAAGTTGCCTGTTTCTACCATCACCTACAATGGAACGTGATCCTAACAGTGTGGCTGTTCTCTATCCTTTCATAATAAATTAACTGCCCATATTTTTACTGGACTAGCCTGATGGATTCACCTTGAAGCTAACCCCGCTTTACTTTTGAAATAAATAGACAAGCCAAGCAAACCGGGAGAAGTCACCTGCACTTCAGTTGGGGCAGATTTTGTCAATCTGACCTGGGGAAGACCCGCCTCAGACGGTGGTGGCCGTCTCCGCGGTTACATAGTGGAAAAACGCGATATTGGATCACAAAATTGGTCCCGTGTGACCCCGCACCCGGTGCTCACTACAAGCTACAATGTACCCAATCTTATTGAAGACATCACCTACGAGTTCCGTGTTATTGCTGTGAATGATGCAGGTGAAAGTGAGCCGAGTGTAGTTAACCAGCCAGTATTAGTAAAGGATCCAAAAGGTGAGTACAATACGAAGACTATATTCTATTTTGTTCAATTCGGTCGCCTATACTGTTTTGGGTATACAAAGGGGCACACGATTACTCAGGCCTTCGTGTTTTGTGAAAGGTGTCGGTTTTGAAAAGCTTACTTACTCAGGCCTTCGTGTTTTGTGAAAGGTATCGGTTGACGGTTGGTTTAGCGAAGGGATAAAGAGAAATTAGGAAACCCGAATAATGCAAGCTTAATCCTCGAAAACCACCTACTGACTTTCTGGACCGAGATACATTGTTTACTGACTATGAAGGTTAGAGGGAACGCCCACTGGACAGAACGAATAGCACCGGAGTTCCAGCGTGCCTCTAACCATTATAATGCTGTCGAGGTCAGCAACAATCGGACTTGCGTGAAGTTACTCTACTGGTTACCATAACAATGTGCTCGTGTTAGATTTGTGTTCCACAGATGCAGTTCGAAACTGCATGTGGTACAACTTGGGGAGCCGGTCGCTATTTTGTCTGAAATCAGAGTTTCTGACATCGGAAACCTTGAGAGAAGTAACACATCTCAGTGTTACCACACTCATGCATACTGACTGGAAGGATGGCATAAATCAGACAGTCTCTTTGCCGTTGTTTATCACCGGTTGTAAATTCAGTAAGCTTGAGGTGGGGAATAAGAGACCAGTCGGTTTCGTTTGGAAAAATTGCAGTCTCATCTAACGCCTGGTATCTCGATAGACTGAATGGGTGGGTTGAGCCTGATATTGTCCCTTTACACTGCCCTTCGGTTGCATTGCCCCTATTGGTTCTGTCCTGCATTGGGTAAATTCAGAAGCTTGCGTAGCAGCCAAGACACTACTTGGCTGGCTGCCTAGTCCGAATCTGCTTTAAACCCCAGTTGGCGGGGAGTGCACTGTTGAGCTGATGCATGTAACGTGCCGATCAGCTCTATGCTTGAGATAATCGCAACCTCGTAAATTTGCTTCTCTTGATAGAAAGTGGACTTGAGGTGTGTTTGTGAGTGAGCAAGCTCAGGTATCACAGTAGCGATTGTCTTTGTAAGGCTTCGGCAAATTGTTTCACCTTGTGAACAGTTCATTCACCTTCCAGTCGTGGTACCCCGCTCGATGGTTATTCAGATATCCAATATCCGACTCATTACACACTAACTGGCTGCGAGCGCTAGATTCAAACCACATTCGAATGGATCACCTTCGTTACATTTCGCAATAGCATGTACACCGTAAAGGTAGTCTTAAAGTTTAGTTAAGGCGATAGTCAAGATGGGGTATTTTCCCTTTTAACACTAGGATTGGTTTGAGGTGACATTCTGAACGACATATGGAACCAGAGGTTGTTCGGTAGAGCATTATGAACTTTTACGATGAATTGCCAACGACAACAATAGCTTGTTTGTCTCTATAGTTAAAAGTCGACGGAAAGGCAATCCGGATGGGATTTTTCAAAGCAGTAGGCTCGTAGCAGGTAATAAATAGGCTGTCGCGAGGACCAGTGCTCATTGGGCAAGCTGCAGTACGGGATCTTCCTGCGAACAGAAATGAACCGATCAGCTAAACGCTTTGGGTATGTATTCTGTGAGGCTGTGTACTTCTCGAAAACTGGCTCAACCGCAGTCACATATACAGCTTTTTTCGTCCTGTTAGCGCTCAAAGGGACAAATACCTTACTTTTCCTATCTTGGATTCTGGGAGATACATTGCATTCTGACGCCGGGGACATCAATTCCAAGTCGAGCACTGAAATAAAATCAATTTGGCATTTATTCAAATTTGCTTTCCATTTCTAGTGCCAATAGGATGTGTGGCTGTTACGTGAATCTCACAGAGTGGTCTTCGTACTTTATGTAATGTATATTTCGTAATGCGTCATCCACCCCTTTTCAGCTGTTTCCCGTCCTAACCTGGTTGGTAGTTTACGTCCTCAAACAGTCCATGAAGGACGGGATGTGGAGTTTGAGATCGAAGTCGATTGTCCCTCTGCCTATGATGTGATATGGTCCAAAGGCCCTCGAGACCTAGTACCATCGCATCGCATTGAAATGACCAAAGAGGGTCGGAAACATGTGCTACGGATTTGTGATTGCGGTCTCGAAGATGCTGAGGAGTACAGCGTAAAGGTAATCAATCGGGCAGGATCCAAAGTCAGCCGAGCTCCTCTGACCGTCAAATGTGAGTTTGACATTTATTTAGTTGAACCCTGAAGGGCTGATCATTTTCTAGATTGAGAGGGCTTTGAGTCTTGGGAAGCGACCCAATGCGCAGAGAAATAGCTGTTCATCGAAAGCGCTTGTAACTCATCCAACTTTTGTATGAAAACTCAGAACGACATTGTTCTTAAATGTTCTAGAAACCTGTTTAGATTACCTCTAGTGTGCTCATGTTGTACATGCTGTGTAGTCTACTGATGATATGGTTTCCATGTGGTAACCTATACAAACACGGACCGTTACATTTTAACCGCTAAAGCTCAACTCTTTGGACTGTTTTCAGAATCATTTTATCTTCTGCCAACCGTTTCAGTGAGTGCCTGTAATTTTTGGGACCATGTTAGTCATCATTTCACCGACTAAGCAAGCGAAACGCAATAAAATTCCGGAAGTTGGATCGAGGAAACTAGCATGCCGTACATTATTTGCGGCTCCAGAACTTTAAAACCCCTGAATCTGGAGGAAAGAGGCAAATCACAGTGGAATATACTGGCCTATATAAGGAATGATATTCTGTCGACATTGAAAGTCATCAGCTGACTGCACAACCAAGATATCGGAGTAGCACTCGGCGTGATTATTTTCATGTGTATGGCTTGCTCGTGTCCAGTGTTTAACTTATGTGGAACCTGATGAAACATGAGAGGCAGACAACCAGACAATTGTTAATTGATCAGGTGGCTGTTGATGTGATCAATTACCAACCAATAAACACGAGCTACCAATATTCCAACACATTACCAACCGGACAATTGATAGATATCCCGCACTTTTCCCGGTTCAACATAGTTACTCATGTTGGATGGTGAAAATTTTGAGAATACAGAGAATATACTCTGTCGAATTCGAAGATGTAAAACTCTGGAGAGGGATATATGTTAATTGGCACTAGTTTATCATATCGTCTTGATCGTGCGGTAAATTTGTCGTCTGTTTCAGCAAAGCCACGCATCAATCTTCCAAGCCGTTGGCAGGAGCCAACCGAATGGGACAAAGGTGATACTATCCAGATCAAAGTACCATTCACTGGGTTTCCCAAGCCTACAGCAAAGTGGACTCTTAATGGCAAGGAGTTAAAAGAAGGAAAGCAGGTACAAACAGTGATGAAAGACCGATACGCCATTATCGCGCTCGAAAACGTTGGTGAGGAGTTTGCTGGCAAGTTGAACGTACAGCTGGAAAATGACATGGGTTCGGACTCAGCAACCATTGAACTTCGTGTCAATGACCGTCCTCCTCCACCAATCAACCTCAGGGTGGAAGGAGTATCTGATGGTTCCGCGCTCCTGTCTTGGTCAATGCCCGCTAACACTGGATATATCTCGCAGTACATAATTGAACGTTGTGAGCTTCCAGGTGATAACTGGATTAGAGCTGGAACCAATCGGTACGTATGTCCTATATTTCAAGTCCCGGGTTTTGTAAACAGTGAATTTTACTCGAACTATTTCTGTTCACATATGTCAGCGTCGGCTTTTGGTGAGTAGAGGATTTCTGCGTGCACAAAAGACTTCAGATAGAACCTTTGTCATCAATGCTGCTCTGAATTACCAACCAGTAGAAATTTTTCACTTTGCTTCACTGGCATTGGTGAATACGGTGGAAGGACATGATGTTACTGGTTGATGAATGAATTAACCTTGCTCTTCTCCTCAAGGTTCTCGACGTATAATTGCGAAGGACTGAGAAACGGGAAGGAATATAAGTTCCGTGTGATCGCTGAAAACCTACATGGCCGCAGTGACCCTTGTCAACCAACCGAAGCCCGTCTCATTCAGCCGGAGAAACCACAACGTGGCGACAGGAGAGATCGCGGTGGGGGTCGTGGCGATTACGATGGACCACCCATAGATAACTATGATCGATTTTGTGAGTCTATCCTTGTTATGATTGGTTGTTTCCCATCAGTGATTGCTGATTACCTTCACGAGCACGCGTCCGCCGAATAACAATGCATACTCTTGAATTTTGCCCCCAGATCGTAACATTTGGGACCGAACAGTGCCGTTGCCAACTCAAGTCCATAAGGGAGAAAGCGTGTATGACTACTATGATATCTTGGAAGAACTGGGGAGGTCAGTTTGTATTCTGTGTATGTGGCTATTGTGAACACATTTCCTGTGTTTTGGTGAGAATTTCTCAAGCCTTTATTAATTCTGTCTTCTTTCAGTGGTGCTTTCGGAGTGGTTCATCGATGTCGTGAAAAGTCAACGGGCAACTTTTATGCGTGCAAGTTTGTCGAGGTCAACACACCTCAAGACCGACAAGTAGTTCACAACGAGATCGAGGTGATGAAAGAATTGCACCATCCAAAGTTGATTCGGTTACACGAAGCGTTTGAAGACAAAAATGAAATGGCACTTGTAATGGAACTGTAAGTTACTCGTCTACTTACGCATATATGACAGTAGGTGGCGGGACTTGATACCCTGAGGATCAATGGGTCTTTTTGTATGAAGCCCGGAATTGAAATGATTAAATTCCATCTTTATTCACGTTTAAAGATAGAAATGGTGAATGCTGGGTACCGCACTACAAGACGTAGAAAACTTGTTTGATATTTGGATCATCGGATCTCTTTAGTTCATTTTGTTAGAGCAATAATGGTGTGAGAGGAGATGGAAAGACGGTGGTCAGTTCCAATGTCAGTTTCCAGACTGAAACAGCTATTTTTGTGAACACAGTTTTTGTTGTTGTATTCTTAACCACATTGTTTCAGAGAAAAGAGTGACTTCTGTGTTTGATCGAAGATGTTGAAGATCTGGAGAATGTGGAAGTTTTAAGACCGGGACTGTGATTCACACCACAACGGCTGATAGCCGAGGCGGTGGAAATTACAAGCTTCAGAGCGTGGACAGAATCGAGGGTGTGGAACTGGTGAGCGTATGGAAAGCGGTTTTAGCTAAGCCGAGTTGACACGTGACGGTGTGGTTGTCAATCCACTTAGGATCATTAGAAAAAACCGGGGTGAGGGTGGAAACCCCAACCGACCAAAGGTCACATTATCCCTGTTACACAACTATCTTAGCACTAGCTCACCCACACAGACTGACAGAAGGTTCAAACGACGTTCAAGAGGGACCATCAAACGAACCGAACCAGAAGAACTAGGACCTAGGCTGGACCCAAACACGTGTAGGTACCCCACCGTCCCAACACTTGTTCAACTACTCTAACACTAAAATCCCTCGGCCGACACCCAACCTGTCTTAAATCTCGACCAATCTCCGAACCTAGTCACTTGGCCTGACAAAGCTTTCATGTCAAAAGCGAAACGTTGCCCAGCAATAAATCCACCGATTGTCACCAAACTTTTTTCGAAGACTATGTTGAAGATATGTTGAGCGATTGGTGATCTGTGGCTCAGCGTAATTGTTTGTGCTAATAAACCGTAATGTTGTGAGATCTGACGCAGTTTGAATAGAAATCTTCCCACAAGTTCCTGGAGACAGATGTCGATCAGCTCCACCAATAAAGATTTTACTGCAAGTGGACTGGTAATTGACGCACGATGTAGGATCATCTGATTCCTACGGTGAAACATAGTACTTTGTGTTGTGAAAATTAGGCTTAATTAAGCTGCAGGGTATGTGTAGTTTAGTGCTTATAATCAGTGGCGTTTAGTTGTTCTGGACTGTGGTTGTGGTGCTTGCCCGAGGGGTTGTTGTGAAAGACGATTAATTTGTTTTGAACTCTGTTTACTGACAGAGTCCTTTTCGGGCAACTCATTTTGCTGTGCGAAAGCTTCTAACTCTATAAAGTGGGTTTCTGACAAACCTCACTTATATAACTTCGGGGAGACCCTAATGAACTGAAGGCATTTCCCACTCTATGTGGTGTCACGATGAACCGTATGCTGTAAACGTTGAGTAATTGATGGGTTTAGAAAAGGAAGACCTCAATTACACTATATCTTATAGCAAACCCGGATCGTCAGTCTAAGGGTGAAATATTTGCCCTTTAATCTATGTATTTGGTTTGGTCGATATCCTGGTTTGACTTAACACTTCGGCAGTATGGTGTGTTTGTGGCCATTTTCAGATTTTTCATTTTGACATCTGCCGCCTTGGATGAGATGCTAGCCTGTTCAAATAAGACTGTTTTCCCTAGAGTACCTAGTGTGTGTCACCCAGATTTAGTTTCAATCAATCCAGTGGTTTTGCTCCAATGGCATACCGATCATGTCAACCTCTCCCCTGAGTCATACCGCGTGAAATTCCGAACTACTCAATTACTTTCAATCATATCACGAATTTAAGCTGCACGGCAATAACTCAGTGAATGCATCAGCTTGAATTTATAATCGCTGACAAACCTGCTAACGTTTACTGCAACGACTCGGTCGAAGTGCGCTAAAACACAAGATTGCTTGTCCAAATCACCACACAGAGCAATGAGTTCATGGGAATTCGACGATAACCTTCACCAAAAACGATGATAGGGCGAGAAAGTAATGCGAATTTGGCGTCGTAACATAGACATTTTAAAAACGACAAGATCTGATGGTGGATGTGAGGAGATTTGGTAATTCTCAATTGTGACACGTGACGGTGTGGTTGTCAATCCACTTAGGATCATTAGAAAAAACCGGGGTGAGGGTGGAAACCCCAACCGACCAAAGGTCACATTATCCCTGTTACACAACTATCTTAGCACTAGCTCACCCACACAGACTGACAGAAGGTTCAAACGACGTTCAAGAGGGACCATCAAACGAACCGAACCAGAAGAACTAGGACCTAGGCTGGACCCAAACACGTGTAGGTACCCCACCGTCCCAACACTTGTTCAACTACTCTAACACTAAAATCCCTCGGCCGACACCCAACCTGTCTTAAATCTCGACCAATCTCCGAACCTAGTCACTTGGCCTGACAAAGCTTTCATGTCAAAAGCGAAACGTTGCCCAGCAATAAATCCACCGATTGTCACCAAACTTTTTTCGAAGACTATGTTGAAGATATGTTGAGCGATTGGTGATCTGTGGCTCAGCGTAATTGTTTGTGCTAATAAACCGTAATGTTGTGAGATCTGACGCAGTTTGAATAGAAATCTTCCCACAAGTTCCTGGAGACAGATGTCGATCAGCTCTACCAATAAAGATTTTACTGCAAGTGGACTGGTAATTGACGCACGATGTAGGATCATCTGATTCCTACGGTGAAACATAGTACTTTGTGTTGTGAAAATTAGGCTTAATTAAGCTGCAGGGTATCCGTAGTTTAGTGCTTATAATCACTGGCGTTTAGTTGTTCTGGACTCTGGTTGTGGTGCTGGCCCGAAGGGATGTTGTGAAAGACGATTAATTTGTTTTGAACTCTGTTTGCTGACAGAGTCCTTTTCGGACCGCTCA